GCGGCCGCTGGAGTCGACCTCCATGTGGGACGCGTTGAAAGCGCTGCGAACATCGCGGACGGTCCCACGGGAGACAGGCTTCAGTTGTTGGCATGTTTGAAGGCCACGTTTGTTCCTCCAGAGCTTCCGTCGTGGGTGCACACTCTGTGGGAGATTCCAAGCATTGAGCAGTGATAACAGTTGTTACGCCTTTTGCTCTAGCATGTGCAGCAGAGTCCATGTTACACAGGCAATATATATAGTTGGTTTTTTTTTGATATTATACGATTCGGTCTTTGATGCTCACTTTCCCTTTGCAGCCGCTTGCTCAATGGGCAGGCTGGAGCTCCCTCATATGGTCTCGGTTGATCCATGTCTTCTCTGGACGAGAGCCTCCGAAACCACGTTTGGTTGGCTCAGAGATGGGTCCAGGAAACTATACAAGTTTGGACGTGCAATTTTGCTGACAGGCTGAGCGCGCAATTAAGGGCAGCTGAACGTCTGACAGTGAATGTCCATGTTTTACATCGATCGGGCGCTGGCGTGGTTTTGCACTCCGAAGAGGTGTGGCGGATGTTGCCAGCTGATTGGCGCGCAAGACGAGCTGCGCTATTGAAGCAGTGGCGTACACACAGTAGCTCGGATAGATCAGGGACCAAAAGCGCACCGGCCAAGCCATTTGGGGGACGAGCGCCTTCGGACTTTCTGATGAAAGTGCATCAGCTGCGTGATTCGCTGCAGTTAATGGAAGCATCCGCAGTCTGTGAACTGTGGCATCTTGAGGCTGCCTTGGTCCTTGTGTCCAAAGGCTTCGAACAACTACAACAACTGGATGGCTTGTATCGTAAAGACTTGAAGTCCTGGTCGGACAATGCGAGGGTCCAGACGTTACTGTTCAAGGCTCTTGATGCAGTCACGAATGCTGAGACTGTCAAAAGGGCAAGAATTTCGAGTGGGCAACCCAAATTGGAAGCGCAGCACATTTCGGCAGATGCAGTGGCATGTCAGGCCAATGAGTTCTGGGCAGAGGCTGATGGCTTGAATGTTTCTCCCGGGGGTCCTCGGGATCGCGTTGCGGCTCTGGCAAAAATACAAGCTCACGAGGCGCAGCGTATGCTGGAGATCAAAGCAGCGAGCTTGAAGGCGTCTACTCAGAAGAGGAGCCTAGCCTCGGTGGCTTCGGGCCTGCGTTGCTGGCATCAATTTGCTGTGACCGTTTTGCAGTATCGCCCCGAGGAGACCCTCCCGCCGAAGTGTGCCAGAGACATAGTTTATTTTGTTGCCATCTTTCAAAACCCAGGCACGGCCCGGAACTATGTTTCGTATGTTCGTTGGGCGTGCGTGCTCCACAGACTGGATTGCGCGTGGTTTGATCCAGAAGTGCAGATGGTTTTGCGAGGCTTGGACAAGCACTACATTGAAAGTTTGCCTGGGCAACTGTCAGACAAGCCTTTGCTCACCGAAGATATGGTGGCAAGGCTGGTCACTCTCTGCAGTGAAAGACCTGGTTTTGAGGACTTGGGTGATCTGTTCTTGGTGGCTTGGCAGTTTTTGCTCAGGGTGCCAAGTGAGGGCATTCCCCTCCAGTACGGGGATCGCAGTGAGCTGCACATCCTTCCGGATGGCCGGCGCTCCGCGCTCACTGTGGATGCGCAGTTCTGTGCGCATTTGCGCCTCCGACACAGGAAGCATCGGCCACAGGGGTCACTCTTGTCCAGGCCGTGCTGTTGCAATGGAGAGCGTAGCGTATTGTGCGTAGGCCATCGCTTGGGAGAGAGATCAAAAGCATGCAGCTCAGGAGATTCAGTGGTGACTCGCTCAAGACATGACTGCTTGAAACTGTTCCATAACTCCCTCAACTTGTTGGGTGTCTTGGGCCCGGAAAGATACACATGGAAGGCCTTTCGAGCAGGGAAAGCCAGAATGGAAGAGCCAAGCGGTGCTCAACTACGTCTCTGAAGATCACATAGAAAATGCCGCTTTTCTTCGCTTGATAGAGTCCGATGATGAGGCCTGACACTGTAGCAACGTTGGGATGAGTACAGCATCGTTGGGGTCCTGTTGACATATCCTCGTTTGCTTCAGCTGGTTGCCTGCAAGCGGTCGACAGTCTGAGACTGTTCCAATTATACTGCACTGCAGAAGGCCAGGAGGACCATTTGCAGGATTCCGAGGTATGGCTGTGAATACCCAACGAAGCTCACAGCGCTGGCCAAAAAGGTCGGTGTCAGTGAAGATGTTGCTCGTGTCAGGTGGGAAGGGTGATGGGAGGCATGCCTTTTTGGATGTGAGGGATTCGTGTGCGGGGTTTGTGTAGGTGTTACATGTGAAGCATGAACTTGTTACACTGCACAAACGAAGCTGATGAATCCTCAGCTGTGGGAGCCTCGAAGATTTTTCCTTCCCTCCCCTATGCACCCACCCGAAAAATTTCGCGAACGAATCGGCAATGCCAGCAACAGTTTGGGGTCCTGTTGACATATCCTCGTTTGCTTCAGCTGGTTGCCTGCAAGCGGTCGACAGTCTGAGACTGTTCCAATTATACTGCACTGCAGAAGGCCAGGAGGACCATTTGCAGGATTCCGAGGTATGGCTGTGAATACCCAACGAAGCTCACAGCGCTGGCCAAAAAGGTCGGTGTCAGTGAAGATGTTGCTCGTGTCAGGTGGGAAGGGTGATGGGAGGCATGCCTTTTTGGATGTGAGGGATTCGTGTGCGGGGTTTGTGAAGCTTCCTCCTGTACTTAGGCAAATTAGACGGACGCTTTATATATTTTTTTTTATAGATTTTATGAATTTCGCATATGTTATAAATTGTGTAATAAATTTTAGGGTTTCCGGACACGCGTGAAACCGAAATCTTTATGTTTTTTCAATTTTTCAAATTTCACCGTTAAAGGTAGAATTTTTAAAACTCATAAAGTTTTGGGTTTCGGGCATCCCTGGAAACCCAGTTCGGGCGAAGGCTGTGGGTTTTTTTGCGTGGATTGGAAAAGATAGGCGCTGTTACTGTTTACTAAGGAAACCCTAAATCTCAACCATAAAGCCTAAACCGGTTTGAGCGCTTTAATTAGTCGTCAGGGCAACACTAGTTGTGTTTACTTTGGGTTTGGACCTTGGTTAGACGTGTTTGCGAAGGCAGACATGCATGTTGGGTTGAGAATGTCTTTGAGGGTTTTTTTCTCGTTTCAGACATCTGGTGTCGTGTTCAAGGGTTTGTGATGATGAGCTTGCAACTATCGACTGCTTGGTTTAAGTAAAGCGTGTTTCTTGTTTTACTTCGATTGTGTATGTAGTTGGAACGCGGCGTGTACTTGGCCGCGGTGCATCTTCGTTTTTTTCGTGTTTTGGCTGGGTATTTGCGACACTTCCTTCACTTTTCCTCCCGCGCCATTTTTGACCTCAGTTGTACACTTCTGTTTTTTCTTCATGCCTCTTCTGTTTTGGGGGGGTGAGGGGAGGGGAAGGGGGGGGAAGGGGGGGGCGGGACTAATAACGTTCATGTCCTGAATCTCCAGCAGCCCAAAACCCGAAACCCGGACAGTGCAAGCCCAAAACCAGGCAATAACAGAGCCAATCCGCAAATCGCTGCCATGGTGAACCAGTGGATGTTTCGCCAGAAGTGTGGCCAGCTCAAACCCAGTACTTTCTTGCAAGTGCTGAGCACAAGCTTCAGCAAGGACAAGCTTTGACAAGGCTTCGCAGGGCCAAAGAATCTGGGAATCAGGAACGTTCAGTTGAGTGCGAAGGGCCGCCCTGTCTTCTTCGGTCCGCAGAACTGCCACGCGACGCTGCTGCGCGACCGCAAAAGGAAGGAGCTGGCCCGACGTGCAGAAGAAAAGAACACCAAGGAGAGGGCCCTGCGTGCGGCCAAGGAGCTCCTGGCCAACAAAAGGCCGCACCGTAAGCTGACTGAGGCAGAGAAGAAAGCTCACAAGGAGGCCCTGCGGCTGGTGCGCGAGAAGGGCGGGAAGCAGGTTGGGCTCCGGACGGGCGATGCAGACACCGCGGCCGGCTGCGGAGTCGTGGCTACCACGACAAAGGGTCGTGGGCCGTTATTTAATGGCCGCGGTCTGCAGCAGACCTTGGAAGACGCCGAAGACGTCGTGCTGTTGGACAGCTCCTCGAGTTAAAAGCACTGCCTGCGTGCACACGCAACGCAAGCCCAAAAATTAAACATGTCTTCCCCCCGCACAAATCAGCAAGAGCAACGACAAGAGTGCAAGCCCAAAACAACAACACTTAAAAACCCGAACAAACTACTACCCAAACATGTAGTTTCGGGAAGCCCAAAAACATGAGTGTGCTTAAAACTCGGGTCTTGGGCCAGAAATATGCCCCGTACACCGCAGCCAAATACACGCCGCGTACTTTGAAGTTGGGCATGTTTAGTAGTCAAAACAGTGGGGCGCCCACATGAAACGCAAAGGTCCATGGCACAGAGTATCTATATGAAATTCAGTTCAAGATTCTTGAGAAAAAATGTCTGTAGTTCTACTTATACAGTGCAAAAACTCTGGGGCAACCTCGCCCCTGACAACCCTTCCACGATAACTTCCCAGAAGCCTAAGCTGATAGGTACACACATTTTAGGAGAACCGACACAACACCGAAGTGATATCGACATCCGAAAATACTGTGAGTATATTTATCCGCGTCTTTGCTATCTACTACAACGCTCCCGCATGTATGCAAAAGTTGTTCCAGTCCATGTCTGTATAGTTTTCAAAGTCGTCTTATTTTTGTTGTAAAGAGTATAGCCCACTGGTGTGATGCGCCAATACAGCGCAGCTGCACTTGCTGCATGTAATTTGTTGAGCTTTCTTTGTGCGGCCCGGGCTTCGGTTGACGGGCGAAGCTGAAGGCTTGTCCTGTAGAGGTTGAAGAGGGTTTAGGGTTTAGGGTTTAGGGTTTAGGGTTTAGGGTTTAGGGTTTAGGGTTTAGGGTTTAGGGTTTAGGGTTCAGGTTTAGAGCCTCCTTGAACAAAACTTCCATGGTTTTTTGTTCCATGACTCTGCCAAGGTTTGACGTCTTCATCTACTATCTGCTGCTGAAGCTGCCTGACGGATTTGCACCAAAAGCCCCGAAACCCAAACCTTAAAAGAACCCTAATTAAACCCTAAACCCTGAACCCTTAGCCCTAAACGCTAAACCCTAAACCCTATCTGTCAAGTCAGAAGGTATGGAGTGGTCGATGCCTACGCGAACCTTGGAAATGTCACCAGCCAGGAGGTCTTCCGTGGATGGCCCATCGAGGAGAGCCACTTAGGGTTTAGGGTTTAGGGTTCAGGGTTCAGGGTTCAGGGTTTAGGGTTTAGGGCTTGTTCCCCACATCTCGTGGACCAAAACATGCAGGGGCTGCCTGACATCTGGGAAAGTACGGCGGTGCTGAATCCGAAAAGACATTCTGCAGAGTAGCTGTCGCCCGGACCCCGAGCGCACCGGAGGCATAAGCCTATGAACTCGGACAGAATGCATAGAATGCCGCGACACTCTTTTGATGCTGCGCTGCGCTACGAGCTGGGTCTTTTGTTCGGAGCTGTTTGAGCGTTTGAACCTCCCCCCCCCCCCCCCCCCCCCCCAAAGCCGAGAGGAGCACGAGCAGCGCACCTGGTTCCTTTTCGGGGCCCTCTGGAGAGCGACTTAGCCACTGAGCTCTACGTCCAGGGATACGTTGAAAAACAAGAACGAAGTAGGGCCTAGGGGGCCTTGAGCAGTTCAGAAGTTCAATGCTGCAGCTTCATCGCTACATTGTAGCTACATGCAGTTTGGCTTTTCAGTTGGCGGTCCAGCTGCTTGAAGTTGGGAGCTGCTTGCATGGATATTGCTGGGTGGGGATTTGCCGGCAGCCTATCATATTCGAAGGCAATTCTTGCGTTCTGGGAATGTGGAAGGATGCATGGTAGCCACTGCTCCATGTGTCACTGGGTCGCGCTCACGAACCGGCACTCAGGTAATCTGGCCTGCCAGAGACTACTGCGCCAAAGCCGAAGCAGACTAAGACCTCACTGCAGCTGTCTTGCCGTTTCATCCCTTGACATCCGCGATTCTGAGAGTCCAGCTAGTGATGCTTGGAAGGTGGCCCCCTGTGCACGCCGTTAATCATGAAATCTCATGCATGCCGTATCTGTGGATCTGAGCCAGTTTAGATCTCAGCCTGTGAAACAAGGGGCATCGGGTAGAAAAGCTAAGGTGCATGTGTGGAAGCTTATGACTACTACACCACCATGCACGCTTTGTTTGATGGATCCTTGCACATAGGCTGGACCGGGCAGTGCTGTCTGCGTTGTTGCTTGACCCCTTTCTGGTGTGAACGAGATGCCCACGGAGAGATATTGTGCATTCTGAAGTCTATGTTGCTGAGCTTGCCGCATGAGTGCCAGCTATATTGACAAGCTACTATAGAGTCACTAGAGACTGGCAGGCTACATATCCTAAATGTTATCATTATTCGTATCATTCTGATTACTAGTGTTCTTATGTTTTTTGTGATTAACTTTATTGTAATTATTCATTATATTCTTATCTTCGATAAACCCTACTACCAAAAGAAGCCTTCACGAGGCCGCGGGGACCTTCACGAGCGGCTGCTGCGGCCCTCGAGTGAAGCGCGGCGGATGGTCGAGGCCGGTGGCAGAACCGTTCTGTCTTGGGCTCCTAAATACTTATTAACCAATTATAACTGTACTTAGAACCCACTTCTAAGCCCCTTAAGTGCCCTTATATGGTTATAAGTACAGTTGCAATTGGTTAATAAGTACCATGAACCTCCACGTAGGCCCATCATTAGGCTTTCGGACTCTGTGTAGGGAAGGGTTCGAGGGGCTTGGAGTTAGTTCGGCCATTGAGGGTTTGTGGAAACATGGAAATTGAGATGCTGCAGATGCTTGATTTCAAGGGGCAAACTTTTTCAGGCTTTTCATTCTAAACGTGCTTTCTTCTGGCGATTGTCTCACATTTTAAGAGAGGCAAGGAACGGCCTCATCTGCTTGATTTTGCTGGTGCTTTGGAGTGGGTATCACCGTAGCCTGCCAGAAGTTCGGTTGCCGGCTTAGATTTTAAAGCCTTGACTGCAGTTCGTCCAGGAGTTCACCTGTTAGCAGCCTCACGTTGGAAGTTATTCTCGTTCTTAATGTGACAATGGGCGAGCTCCCCTGCAGGTCCCCACTATCATATTCTTGTATACTCTGAGTGGTCCAGTTTGGGCAACATGTCTTGCACCTTACGCTGTACACCAGTCCCACCGTGGCCAGGCTGCGTCATATTGCGAGGAGTGGCTGGAAAAGGACTTCCAGCGCATCTTTTCCACCTATGCCAAGTTCTCGGCTTGTTTACCAGGCGTGCAGCCCAAGTAGCCGGCCAAAGACAATCCAGATGCAGGCGTTGTAGGTCAGGAGCTTCATCAGGTTAATGATTCACGCCCTGGCTGAGCTGTCTGAGTTGCATACATCCACTCCACGTCACCGTTTGGTAGTTGAAGAGTGACTTCGGTGCTGAAAGCGGGAAGTGAGTGAGGGTGAACTGAATGCAATCGGGCCCTCCCATGAAAAGTGCCGAAAGCGTTATCCTTGCAGGCGCACTGATGGAGAACATCGTCTGCCTCCAGCGATGGCTCTTGGGTGGCAAGGCAGCCATTTCTCCCAAGACACCAGTTGCTGAACCTGTGCTGTAGCAGTTTGCAGCAGGTCATCGGGAGCCTCAATACTGCTGAGATGATGGCCGCTTGCCCCTATCATTTGCCTGCCTGCTGACGAGTGTCTTTGTTCCCCTGCATGCAAGGGCAGTATAAGCACATGCAGAGAGTTACCTCCACAAACGACGCAATCCCCGACCACCCGCCCCCAATCTGTCTCCCCCCTCACGGCTAGGTGAAGCTGCTGACGTTGAGCGACACCTGCTTGGAAGACACACGCTGGCCGTTCAGCAAGGCTGGGCTGCCCTGGAAAACATCGGTTCGGTTTTTATAATAATAACAATTGTCATTGTTATTATGATTATTATCATGATTATGATTCTTATGATTATGATTCTTATTTGTTATACCATTTCCAGGCGGACGTGGAGTACAACTTCGCACGCCTGGCGGTCAACTGGCGCGCGGGAAACGTGAACTGCCAGGCAATGGATCGTTGCCCGGCAGCTTGCTAGACTGCTGGAGCTTATCCTTGTGACCCGTGACTGATACCATGATGTACTCATAGACTCAGGACTCCTCGAGAATGCTTCCATTCAATGCTGTTCTACAGTGGTATGAAGGGTTTTTGAGCATGATTGATTTTCCAGGGCTATCAGGGATGAACTTCAACAAGCCTTCCTAAAACAGCATTCTAGCCTTGGATTGACTGGTAGCGGTCTTGCACTTGTCTCAATTTCTATGGGACGACGGGGCAGTTAACCGCACGTACCAACAGATGCACTTAACATCATAAGTGGTTACTTTGCTATATCTCAAGTGAAGCAATGGTAACGGTTCATGCACAAGAAACTAGTAAGCGAGCTCCCAAGCCTTCGAACTTCTTCATTGTGAGGGCAAGTTGATTCAATATTTGTTTACGGGAGTGCGCAACCGTTCCTTTAATACTTCGTGTGAGCAGGAGCTTGAGAATGTTTCCAAGTAGAACAAGCCGCAAAAGACACGGTATATTTGCGACGGAATGATGGCAAAACTCCATATTTTAAAATGCGTAACGTGTGTTCTCTCTTGCTTCATCATCTTCGATCAAATTGTTGAGTCTAACGGCCCAGCGAATCGAAGGCAAAGGGAAGTTTTAGGCCTCCTACCAACGTTCACAACGTGAAGGTTTCGGCCAACGGCTGCAGGACGACGGATGCCCCAGCGCTCTGGACGCCACGGCGCTGCGGCCGCTGTTGCGGTTGAGCTCGGAATGGTTCTTTCGAGTTTTTGGGCGTGGGGTTTGTTTGGGGCTTCAGGGTTTCCGTGCTTTTGAAAGTTGGGGCTTTTTGGGGCTCAATAGTTTTCAGGTGGAGTCTGCCACTTGGGCTTGGCTTTGCTCACGCAACACACTGTGCGAAAGCCAGGCTCGAATGGGCCGCGGCAATTGCATGACAAAGAAACCAAGACTTCCAAATCCCATAGCTCCTGAATTCACGGGAGATGCGGTTTAGGGTTAGGAGTCAGGGTGTCGGGTCTTGCAGGTTTTGGAGCTCAGGGTTTCAGGGTTATTAAGTTAGGCTAGACCCCGATCCATGTCAAGGTGGTCTCCGTCACCTCTGCAGCAGAATGGGCGGCAGGCGTTACCCAACATGTCGCTCCCACAAATCACTTGCAGTCCGCCGCTGCAAGTGTCATAGGCTGTGACCCATAGAGATTTTCACCGACAGCTTCGTGGCCCTTCTACTCAATGGTTCAGCTCGGAGAGCTCACCGTCTCCATACGAACAGACATCGCACAACCCTGTGTAACGTGTACAGAAACTGAAGGTAGCGCGCAATAACCAAGTCGCAGCCACATCCATGTCACAGGTGCAGTGCACAGCCCAGTTCGATAATGCCTGCATCGTGAATGGCATCGTCACTGTCCGTCACTTGCTTGCTTTGGTCCAGCCTCGAGCCGAACGATGAGCAGCCGACTTGCCTACAGGACCCCGGCCCAAGACCCAGGGGCTTCGGACTCTGTAATGCTTCCGTTCGCCTCAGCAAGGTAAGCCTCCAGATGGTGAGGCTCGTCTTCCTGACGAGCTTCAAACCTGCTCTGAGACGGGGCGCAACAGGCGCGCGGCTGCGCGTTTGTTTTCAAGCCGGCGGGGGCAGTAGCAGCACACTTAGAGGGTTGCCTCCGAAAGTCCATGATCCAGGCACCGTCTCGCTCTGAGCGAGGATCTCGGTCCCTTGACTACATTGGTATGGACTCAGAGGCCCACAATCAAAGCTTGCAATTTATGTCTGGGAGAACTCGAAATTCAGACCGCATTGTTGCAGCGAAGCTGCCATGGATTGTCTCCAGATCACATTCCCTTTGGATGGGGTATACCCTGTTCTAACGTGGCCCCCCAACCCCTAATTTCTTGGAGGGTTACTTCAAGGAAGTAGGCCCTACGTTAAAAATGACGTGGAGTCCGGGATGCCAAGGACATCTCTGGGGCACCCAAGAAGAGGCCGTCCTGCAAAGGCAGACAGTAGGCTTCGCCACCGAGCTGAAAAGAGCTTCAAGGGGTTTACCAAGAGAGTTGGGTCTCAAAAGGGAGCATTCCGAAGCTGAGCTCGGGCAGGATGCAGAGTCTGTCGGTGTAAGTTTGAATTCGTCCGGCCTATTGAGCTCAAAGTATCGATGGAACGAATATTGGACCGCACTTGTGAGCAACCTCCGCATGGCGGAAGCCGCGGTGACATGTGAAGCCTTCGGATTGCCAGGATGCCCTGTCCCCCGAGTTGGCTTCGAGACGGAAGGAAGTACAAGGGTGGGCATTTGCCAAAAAAAGATAGAAAAGGGAATGCTATACATCATTATACATCGCGCTTCCAGGAAAGGTGACCCCCCAATTTTCGGAACTTCTCCCAGGTGTTAAACCTTCCAGAGACCGGCGACAACGTTTGGCACAACCTGCACTGGATTGTGCCGGCTGCCGCCAGGCCCTCCTCCAGCAATTCTCTTAAGAGGGGCCCACAAAGGGCTTGAGATGATTTGAGATGATTTGAGCCATTTGAGCTTGAATTCGTGTGTTGTGAAGACGATGTTTCGAGAAGTATGTAGGATTCCGGAAGGTCCACCAGAGCCAAGTTGCAGGGTCCGAGCGCGCCGCAACATGCGAATTCTTGTCAGATTGGGGGCGCCGAGGCATGTGTGGGATCCAACGTTGATTGTGTGCCCCTTCAGAACTCGTCAGAACTCCGAAATGGCCACCGACATGCCTCAGAACCCGGGACTTTCTGCATGCTCGTGCAGCTGCCACTATCTCCGACTAGTCCTTGCAAGTGGCTGTCACGATTATTACGGCTCTGTTATGTTAACAAATGGAAGGTGGGAGTGTGTGTGTGTGTCAGAAATGGCATCAAGTATCATCAAGTCAACGCATTGCGCAATTGGCACTGGGTCTCATATAGCTGCAGGTTGCATGGGCCACGTGCCCAAGAAAGCCTTGGTGACAAAACCACGCGGGACGTTCTGCTGATCCTACTCTTCGATGCATACCTCTTTCGCCAGTCTGCTGCAACTCAGGAAATCACAAATTTTCATAGAGGCAATAACTCAAGCAGCACTGCGTGGTCATCAGGCTGCCATGTGCCCTCACGTCCGAGCTCAGCTTAAAGAGGGGCAGGACGCAGAACATGAGGAGTTGCTCGGCATACTGAGGCGAAAACAAGCCCGACCTGGAGAACGGCTCCGATGTTTCCGAGGCACTACGACAGGGCGGCCTTGTCAAGACTGGATCTGAGACAGGGGGCCTCCCGATTTCAAGCTTCAACAAATTGCGCTTTTTTGTGCCTGCCATTCACGAGCATGGTTGGGCTTCTACAAGAGAACATCCCACCCGGAAGCTCCTGGACTCCTGAATGCTTGCCCCGACCCTTGAAGCAGAAGCAAGAGAGAGAGCATGCAGGCCGACGCAGACCGCGAGAAGGCGGAGCAGCAGCAGCGCTTCGAGCTGTGGGTCGTCAGGTCACGGAGGGCTTAGGGTTTAGGGTTTAGGGTTTAGGGTTTTTATGGAAAATATGGGGCATGGCGTGCAATCTGGTAAGGTTCCCGGACTTCAGCGCCTGCTGCAGTTGCTAAGGGCCGAAGCTGTGCACGATTGAGCCGACCTTTCCAGCATCCTCAGTGCACCATCTTTGCCTCACTCCTAACATGAAGGCATGCGCCTTTCCTCCGCCTGCTCACAACAGCGCCACCGGAATCTCGGCCAAACCTAGGGGCGTCAGACCACAACCGATCAAGCCTCCCTTGATGCCGCATGTGCCCAAGCGTAGTTCTACCGCTAGCAAAGACGCATCTCCACCTCGTTTGTGGCGGTAGATGCCGGTGAGTCAGGGTTGGTACACGTACAGCACATGCCTCTTGGTAGAATGGAAAAAATGTCATGTTTGGGAACACTGCAGGAAAGCAGAATTTGCAGATCCCCGCCTTGGCAACGCAAGCACATCAACCCAGTGTCTTGCAAGGTTATGCTTCACACAGTGCAGCGCCGCTGCTTCGGTCGACTGCTATGGGGCCCCCTGTCAAATGAGCCAGTCCCAGCGGGGTTACACGGCTATTCCGCACTGAAATCTTCTTACCAAATTGTGGAGCCATGTTTCGGGCTTGGGAAAGATTACAGGGTACTGCATCTGTCCCAGCACTGCCATACCTTATTGCTGCTCAGCTCAAGGTGGCTGTGGCCGTAGTGATACTCAGCACCCCTACATTCCAGGAACTTTTAGGAGCAAATCTCAACTTTCAGAGGCAGGGGGATGAAGGGTCCCTACTCAGGGGCTTTCCTTCAAGAGCACTTGTCACCTCTCTGCAGGGCATGCTGAGATGCGGGCCGATCGAGAGCTGCGCCACGGAACCGCTGTGGGCCCCGAGGAGGTGAAAGAGGGTGGCCAAACAGTGAAAGTTTAAAGCAGAGCAGAGCCAACAGCGGCAGCGGTTCGTTGTAGTACCATGCAGTTTGTAGCTAACGTGGCCGACTCGCAGCCGGAGGTTCAGGCCTTCAAGGATGCCTTGAATCATCACCACGCGCGTGAGATGGCTGCTTGACGCACACTGGCCATCTGAGATGTCCATCTAATGAATAATTCTTCTGCAACTCTCTGCAACACATGAACCAATCTTAACAAAAAACAAATCTGCTGTGGTTCCCTTTCTGGCTCACGGCCGACATTCCATTCCTCGTCTCCCACGCTGCAACCACAAACCCCGATCCCAGCCAAAGGGTTCGTTGCTGTGCTGCGTGTTGAAGGGAGGTTTTCGTGCGGCAGGAGCTTTTCTTAATGCGATGCCGCCTTTGGGCATCAGGGCAATGTTCTTTTGTTGTAGCATCCTTCTTGCAGACCGCGTTTCAGGAACTTGTGCGCCCCCCGAATCCCCTCAAAGTACCCCTTCAGCCTCGCCTCGGGGTAGCTATCAGAGTATTCAAACCATGTCAAAACCGGAACAACCCGGAAGATACCACCAAAAAAACGATGCGGAAGTTCAGGACGAGCTGGCGCACAGCTTTTGGCAGCGCTCGCCCCTCCCTGCGGCCATGGGGATGGTCCCTGACAAGGGGAGTGCCTTGGAGCAGCCTTTGTGGAGGTTTAGGGTTTAGGGTTTTTGGGTTTAGGCTTATAGAGTCTAGGAGTTTGGGGTTCTGGGGTTGCTTGCCGTTTGGCCGTCTTTTGGGGGTGGTTTTAGCTCCTGCCCCCCAGCAAGGGGGTTTAGCGTTTAGGGTTTTGTGGTTTTGTGGCTGCTCATGGTGGCTGGTGGCGGCATGGGAATTGACCTGACATGCTGGCTTCCGCTGGACCCAGTGCAACATGAGTGGTGGCGGGGCTCATGGCGCATTGGCTTTCTTTGAGCGTGGTGCTCAACTTGCATTCACTAGGACATTCACGGCCTTAGGGATGCGCAGCCTGTTCTCGGATGTGACCGTTGCGATGGACCCCTGGTTCGCCCTTCTCATGCGGCATTGAGCCTGGATCTTCTTCACGGCTGGATAGACGGCTCACCACCTCGCTACCTATGCAGACCACGCAGCTTCCTCTTTTTCTGGGCGTCCGTGGCTGCGAGCTAGATTTTGAATGCCCGTCGCTTCGGCTCGATGGGCGAGCTGCACGGAAGTCCATATCCTCATGGGCGCATCTCTGTTTTGAGCTCCTCATCTTATCCATGCTGCCTTGACCCACTTTCACGCCTAGCTTGTGGCAGATACAGAGCCAGAGAGGTTGCAGGGTTTGGGGCGCGCGTTTTTTGGCGGGGGTGCAGCGGTACAACCCCTCCTGCCCGTAATCCTCGTCTGGTGCGGGCACAGGGTTGTAGGGCTACGGGTTGTTTAGGGGTCGTTAGGGTTTTGGGGTGTTTAGGGTGTTAGGTTTCGGGTTCAGCATTTTGGGCTTTAGGGTGGGCTTTAGGGTTTTAGGGTCTCGGTTTATGGTTTTAGGGTTAAGGGAGGGGTTTTGGGGCTGGTGGTTCAGGTTTCTCAGGGCTGTTTTCGGGGTTTAGGGTTAAAGGGTTAAGAGTTTTTGGGATTTGGGTGTTGTCCGGTGTAGGATATTGGGTTCAGAGTTAAGGCGTTTTACTCTCGGATTTTAGGGTTGATTAGAAAGGTTTTAGGCTTTTAGGCTTTCAGGGCTTTTAGGTTTTGGGGTTAAGGGTTTTTTTGGGTGTTCGGGTTTTAGGGTTTCGGATTTCCGGGTTTTAGGGGTTTAGGGTTTTTAGGCATTTAGGGTTGTGGGTTTAAACAGATTTTAAAGTGTTCGGGTTTTAGGCTTTCGGGTTTTGGGGTTAAGGGTTTAGTGTTCAGGGCTTTTAAGCTCAGAGCGCGCCCCCTCCCCCGCCAGCCGTTGCCGTCCTACATCAGAGAGGTTTAGGCAAAGAACCACGGTTTGTACCTGCCAAGTCTCGACCAGGCCACATCTCCGTCATCGTCATCCAGCGTGCCTTTGACCACGGGCGGTCTTTTCTGGACCTCCCGATGCCGGACTGCACTGGAGAATGATGTTGAATTGTTGTACTCTGTGTAGTCTGGGCTCCTTCTGTTGAGACAAGCGTGCCGGCTATTCAGGGTTTAGGCGGATGTCTTTTTTTTCTTGGAGTGGGGGGGGGGGGGGGGAAGGGTCTTCGGTCTGCTCTTAAATTATACCCCTTAAGCCTAACCGCGAACAGAACAGGCCTCAACCCTCAGGCTGCTTTCTTGATTGTTCCTTTCTTGCTGGACCCCTTTCAAAATCATATAAATTCATCCTTGTAAAAAAACCCTTTAGGCTCAACATCAGCTAAGGAAAGATCAAACAGGGTACAACATTATTGAAGACCTTTTTGCCTGGTTTGCAGTGTGGATCACGGCCTTTCAGAATGGAGGGCTTGCACATTTGCAGCAGCCACCCATTTGCTGATCCACCAGGAATCTCACGGCAAGGGCGCTGGAACCGCTCACATCGTCCGGGGCCGGGGCAGCCTGGCGGGGATGCGTAGTACAGGTTCTTCTGTTGGGCTCGGGTGGAAGCATCGCGGACAGAGTCATTTTCTGGGTTCGCATGTTTGAGTGGAAGCCTGCAGGCCTGGAGGGTTTTGGACGACCTGGAGCAGCGTCCTCTGCTGCAGCAGGCAGGCACGTGCCAAGACTAGCGGTTCAGATTGAATCATTGTTAAAGTTTGTTAAATGAATGCACAAACAACCAACTGGATAAATCAGTGCATAGAGGGATGGTATATGTACATATGACTCGCATGGTACGTATGCATTCGTTTTGAACTATTGCTGTGTTTTTGTAGTGCAAGGTCTGCTACCGCAGTAGCCGGCATCTCCGAATGTGAAGACGAGACTCATGTCATGATGGAACACATGGATAGTTGGATGTCTTGCGCAGAGGTTTCCCAGCAATCTTTGGGGACTCTTGGCTTCAACTCTGAACTCCTTGCTTTCTCTGAAATCCTGGACAGCCCATAGATGGTTGCCTGGGCCCTTGTTCTGATGGATTCCAGGTTCTGTCTCTGCATCTCCAGTGTGCGCCCTCGACTCGAAGCCCTAAGAACCAAGCAGCTCCGTTGCAGGCAGCCCTCTTCCGGAGCACGGACGTCTTGGTCGGTGCAGTTGGGGCGGCACTTGCATGGAACCGCGGCATGGGTTGGGGGTGGCTGTGCCGAGAGTCTGTCATGCTGGCCCTGTGGGTTGCATCAGGTAAGTCCAGGTTGATCCCCGTAGTTTCAGTCGGGCCTGCAACACACACACACACACAGACAGAGCTTCATGTGATGCCAAGGATGCTGCTCATGCCGGCTGGAGGACAAGTTCTGGAATGGCCTTTTGACTACAAGCCTGGCGATCCGTCTGACTCCGGAACTTCTTGAAAAGGGTGTCCAGGAACCTGCTGGCTTTATTGTTCCAGGTCGTCGCAGAGACCGTAAGCCCCGAGCCCTATAGCTGCCCGATCTGAGGTTGCCGCAGGGTGTACAACCCTCGCTGCGCCTCGGCCCCCGCCTTCTTCGTGTGTCCATCTCAGGGTTTTTTTCAGGGTTCTTGTGCAACTTATCTATGTCGTTTTGTTGTGGGGATTGGGACGAGGGATGTTTGCTTGTATGAGTTTGGGTTCCTGGGCTTAGCTATGGTTTTGAGGGCTTCGTTGAGTCCTAGCCAGAATCTTCCGCCCAGGGCAGCCCGCAAGCGACCCCAAACGCTCCTAAAGCCAGCCGCCCCAAAACCCTGAAACCCGGAAACCGGATGAAAGCGGCAGAGGTATCGCTGCAGCGAGGCGTGGAATGAAGACACCCTGGGCATGTTCGGAGGTCTGGGACGGTGGCCTGGTCAGATCTGGTCAGGGGTTGGGAAGGTTTGGGTTTCGGTTCAGTTTTTACTACAGCAAACTCCAGAAGGTTGGAACATCCCACACCCCAGAAGGTATACGAAAGCGAATCCCAGCTCTAGTAATCCTTAGACCATGTTCCAACTTTCCGGAGTTTCCGGCACTTGCATCCTTGGTCCTCAAAGGCCCAGGATGCCCACGTCTCAGATTCAGCAGCCTTGCCTTGAACACGTTGGAGCCCGTAAAAACCGAGGCAGACGCAGACCATGAAAGCACATTCTGATCTTGGAATACAAGGGCAGCTCCATTATGAGTTGGAAGGCAGGAGTTATGCTGATGGCTGGGAGCTCCCCCCACAAACTTAGGGGACCGAGCACCCGGAGCGAAGAAAGAGGCTACTAAGAGACTCAGAGATTTCAACATGCCCAAGGTTGGCCAACGTTGACCACGTGTGCTTGCGGAGCGAAGGGACACCTGTTCAAATCCCAGCCACTTGGTAGCTCCAGTGTGTGATGTCGAGGTTTTCGGTCAGGGTGTGGGGGAATGGTTGCTTGCGACATTCGATGGTTCCACCAGGCACACGCAGGCGGTTCATGCATGGTCATGCTCTCATGTTATCCTTCCTGCGAAGTTTTGCGAAGTTTTGCACCAAGGACAGCAAGCGGTTCTCGGCCACTAGAACCACGGCGAAAGACGCCTTCTGGCGACAGACGAATCTGGAGACTCTGCTGAACCTTAGACGTCTCAGAAGCAGTAGGAAAGGTTTCCATCAGCTGTTCGTAGCTCATGTTGTGCCAGCTATGCCACATAGGCCTGTAGGCCTCTTCACTGACGTGGATCAGCTTGCGGTTTCTGATTTTGTTGATGACTCGGTCTGTACACCGGGTCATTGTCCCAGCGAATTGCAACACGTTGCCGACGTAGTGCCGCATGGGATACCCTCGAGGATGTTGACTCGGACAAGTTCACCCGTTGGACGCGCGAAGCTGTACAGCGTGCACGGGCCAGAAAAGCATCGGAAAACTGGTTCTAACTTACCAATAATACTATATCAATTAATCAGAGAGCATCAGAAGTTCACGCGTCTTTTTCTGCTCCTGGCTTAAGCTCTGCTGGTAGAACATCCACGCACCTCAAAACCAAAACTTCCGCATGTATGGATTATGTGTCGGACTGCAGCAAGCAAGGCGGCTAGAGCTTCGCCGTCATGTGGTACTAGTAAGGAGCCTCTCCATCAACTTCAAGCAGAATGCTTCAGACAGACACACTGCACACGTTTAGTTCAAATCTAATTCATGTGTTAACACCTTTTCATGGTGAGGATTGTTTTGTAGGAGTAGCATGATGGTTATCTCACTTCTATTCGAAACTGGTTGAATTATTATGGATCCCTTGGCACTTCTCTCTGATGATGAAGAAGCCCGGAGCCTGGAGCGGCATTTTGGCGAAGCTGTCGGGAAAAGTGAACCAAAGAATGGGTACAGGGTGCAGGGTTGCGCTGCGGGGCTTTAGGTTTCAAAGCAGCTTTGTTTGTTTTAGGGTTTTGGTTGGGGCTAAAGGAGCCCATCAATCCAAGACCTCACCCCACCACCTCCAACACGTCAGCTGTTACTTTTTCTTTCAGAGCACAACCTGACACGTCGCAACCCTCAGCCCTCTAAACTCATTAGAATCCACAAGCCCTAAACCCTAAATCCTAAACCCTAAAAACCCTAAAAACCCTAAAAACCCTAAAAGCCCTAAACCCTAAAAACCCTAAACCCTAAACCGATCCCATGCCCTGAATATTCCCCCATGGAGCGCTGCCAAGGCTCCCGAGGCATCTCCAGGCTTCGTCCTTTGCTGGGTTTTAGGGTTTAAAGTTTAGGGTTTAAAGTTTAGGGTTTAAAGTTTAGGGTGTAAAGTTTAGGGTTTAAAGTTTAGGGTTTTAGGGGGTCTAAAGTTTAGGGTTTTAGGGTGTTAGGGTTTAGGGTTTAGGGTTTAGGGGTTTGGAGGTTTAGGGTTTAGGGTCACGGAGGACCGTTCAAAATTGACAGTGGACCATCTTGCAGTTGAACTCTTATTGCCAGCCAAGTGCATCTTTCCGGAGCTTCTTCTCCCGACTAGGGTTTAGGGTTTAGGGTTTAGGGCTTAGGGCTTAGGGTTTAGGGTTTAGGGTTTAGGGTTTACGGTTTAGGGTTCAGGGTTTAGGGTCCTGACTGTTCAGGAGAAGGAGAGGCGCCAGAACCAGAGTCGAAGAGACCCCGTACAGCCGCTTGGGGCAGCACTGGGATGTATCAGGTGTGCGTTGATGCTGTCAGCATGGGATATGGATGCAGTCCTAAACCCTAAACCCTAAACCCTAAACCCTATACCCCAGATACAACAGGATGCCCAAACCCCAAACCTCTACACCCTAAACCCCTAAACCCTCCAAACCTTTAAACCCCAGACCCTGCACCCTTGAACCTCTCTAAACTCTAGCCTAAAGCCCTAAACCCCTAAACCCCTAAACCCTTAAACCCTATACCCTAAACCCCAAGCCCTAAACCTCTTAAGCCCTTAAGCCCTAAACCTAAACCCTAAAACTCTTATACCCAAACCCGACACCCGAAACCCTACACCCTAAACCCTAAACCCCAGCAAAGAAGAAACTCTCAGAGGAGGAGCCTCAGCCGGCTCTCTCCGTGGACTTCGAGGCGCTTCGCCGCCGCCCGGCTGACTTTGTGTTAAGGGTTGTATGGGTTTCTATAGGAATTACATTAGGGTTTAGGGTTTTCGGTTTTCGGGTTTAGGGTTATAGGGTTTGGGGTTATACGGTTTAGGGTTTAGGGTTAGGGCTTGTGCATCAGTGTTTGTAGGGCGCTAAGAGTTAGAAGGTTTAGGGTCGTAGGATGTATGGCATAGGGCTATAAGGTTTAGGGTTTAGGGTTATGATTATAGGCTGTTAAGGGTTGAGGGTTATAATTGTAATCACGTTTAGGGTTGTAGGGTTGCAGAGTTTACGGTAATAGGGTTATCTGGTTTAGGCCTCAGGGCTTTAAGGGATATGGGGCCTCAATTTCAGGGAGGGTTTAGGGGTTTGGTGCTTTGAAGGTTATTTTTCGGGCTTTAGGGTCTTGAGGGTTATAGGGTGATAAGGGTTATAGGGTCATAAGGTTTAGGGTTTAGGGTTATAGAGGGATGTAGGTTTAGGGTTTATGGTTATACAGGATTTTTTAAGGGGCATGTTTTTTTGGGGTTATAGGGTTACAGGGTTGTAAGGTTTAGGGTTTAGAATGTTTGGGCGTTAAGAGTTAGTTCTGGGGTTTAGGGTGTAGGGTTTACGGCACGCTTAGCAGGGTGGGGCGCTGGTAAGCACGCAAAAGCATGCAGACAATCTCCATTTCAAGATCGCCCGAAAGCATTCACAGCGAGGCAATAAGGCACAAACTAGAGCCAGAGCCGAGCCAAGCCAAGCCAAATTAGTATGTTGAACAGACTCAGGGGACACTTGCCATCACGTGAACCAGCTGGGAGGCTTCAAACACTTAGGACATTCTTGAAGTGTGGACCCTTGGGCATTTTTTGTGCCTTGGGATTCTTGGGAATACTTGAGACACTTGAAACCTTTGACACTCTTCGGTCACTTGGGGCTTGAGCCATAGGGTTTTTTTTAGGGAAACTGACGTTGGTAATTCGGACCACTTGGGACAGCTTGCGAACTTTTGGACACTGGGACACTTGGGTCGCTTGGGAGAAGGATGGCCTTCCGGGGCCCTCCACATAAGGGGCTACAGTCGTAGGCTTATGAGGGGCGGGGCTGTAAGGCTATCTAGTTACAGGGTATGATTTCGGCCCTCAACCGGATCAACAAAAAAGCATCTGCGATCAAGCCAGTCTTGTATTGTATGTATCTGACATAGGCCTAACGCCGGTTTCTTGTACTACAAACCTTAGCCCACCCCTATGGAGGAGGGGAGTCCTTTAGGGTTTATAGGGTTTGGGGATCTGAGCTAAAGGGTTAAAAGGGGGGGGGGGGGGCAGGAGTTGGACATTTGGGATTTTGGGGGGGTTGGGCGTGGACCAAGGCGTCGGCTACGGGGCAGAAGCTGAAGCACAAGAAGCAGCTTGGCTTCGGGCTGGGAGAGCCTTTGAGGGTTTTCGGGTTTAAGACCCCCACATTCCAGGGGCCAAAATACCTTCGACAACCCTCAGCGCGGTGCCCTCAAGCAACAGCTCGGCAGTCCCACAAACAGCTGCACTGATTCATTACATAATACCCGAATCACGGAGGCACAAGATCCCGCATAATTGCATGAATTTGCCAGTCCATCCTCAGAGGCTGCAGCTGTCCAGGCTTCATTGCAGCAGACCTTTTCTGCCGGCTTCTCGGAATTTCTCGGGGGCCTTTGATGTCCGGTGAGGGTTACGATCCAAAGGCTCAAGGCTCTGCCATGCTGGCCGCATTGAGGCCCTGCAGCACAAGGCGGAGGAGGCTAGCCGCCGCTGCCCCAAAAAGGTGATGACGATGATTCAGTCTCATAGAGAGGCCCTGCAGGGCCGCACCTAACAAAAAAGCGAAGCAGCGAAGAAGAGTTATGGGCATTGACGCTTGCATGGGTTGGCAGGAACACAGTGCAAACATCGGCATGTCGGTAGGGACATGATACCTGCACACCCTACGCACTGCTGAGGTGCAAAGAAAGAGAAAGTGCAGCACTGCCGTACTTTTGCAGCAGAACTTGGAGTTTGTTCTGCGTCACGGCTGCCTTCAAGTAACTGTACCTCGTTGCCTGTCAAACGCATCTCCTCAGACATTGATGGGCATCTGGCAAATCACAAGCTCAACCACCTTCTCAAGCATCGACTCGATGACCCCTGCCTTGCAGACTCATGTCGTACCCAGCCAGAACAACCCTCCTTCGATGTAATTAAGCTATGCGAACGCACTTGCCAGGAAAGAAAGCAACAACCAGGACTCAGCGCAGGCACGGATCAGCACAGCTAACACTACAAGGGTAGCACAACACTGCCTGCTCGAGAAGCCAGGGAGAATCAGCAACACTGACTTGTCCGGTTTGCTTATTAGTTGGGACATGCGACTGTGTCATCTGCTCAATCAATGCGTCAGGCTACACGAAGCTCCTGAACACTGCTGTCAATTCCTCACCCGTCAGGACAAAAGCCTGGGCTGCGAGGAGCCTCCAGAAAGCATCGAGGTCAGCACTCCGCCTCTCTGCAAGTTTCGGACGGTGCCACAGAATCACTTTGCATCACAACTATGGCTAGACTGTCACTGGCCGTGAGCTTTGTGCTTGCAGGGCCTTCAGCCATCTGTTTCCAGCACATCTACCCTCCCAGGATCACCGGCCCCAGAACCAGTGGCTCGTTCTGTGCAGGTCTTCGACGAGCTTCAGGCGTCTAGGGAAGGCACGGGACTGTGCCTTAAAGACGCAGCAGCCTCGACTGCCCGTGCAGACGAAGAAGTTTGATCTAGAAGGCGTACTATGCAGTACTAGGCAGTACTATAAGACACTTCGAGCCGCTGCCCAATGACGCCGAAGGGGAGGATGGCGAAGATCCATGGGCGCCCTGGACAAGCTTGGAGGCTGGAGGGCGTTGGCTGTATGTGACAACGTGTATCTTGTAAGGACTCGGGGCAGCAGGCCCCATTCAAGTCAGTAGAGTCATCGCAGTGTGCTTAAGTGGACTGATGTTAGATACGATGAATCTTCTGCAGCATATAGCTCCAGGTGGGGGAAAACCACATGAGCCAAAGAACAGGCAGTCCCAGCTTCGACAGTGTTTCGACGCCACCTTCGGAGTTTTTTGTCGCGCGCCAGGCGGCTGAGGGAGGTCTAACAAAGACTCTGGTTGATGCGATGCGCGGCGCAGGCTGGCACAGAGAGGAGTCGGGTTTAGGTTTTAGGGCTTAGGGTTTAGGGCTTAGGGCTTATAGGGCTTAGGGCTTCAGGGTTTGGGGAGACCTTGATTTGCTATCTCTTGCTGCACATCCCACAGAGATCCGTGAGATTCGGTCATCTGCACGCATCTCGCAAGATTCGCAGCTGCAGTCTTCTACTGTTGCTAGCAGCGTATCTGGTCCAGCACAGGGATGCCTACTTCCCCAAAGCCGTGTTTGAATGCGGTCAACTAAGATCCTAGTCCCTGTTGACGAAGAGCTGCCAAGGCTTCACAGAGCCAACGCCCATCCAGGCAACGCGCAGCCGGGTTGCTATCCACCGGGTGGGAAAGCGTAGCCCACATGTAGCTTTGGGGAGAGTGGCGCTCATGCCCCGGAATTTTTGCAGCAACCCATACATGCCTTGCTGCAACGAGCTCTGGGCCTTGAAGCTCAGGATACAGCTTGGCAGATCAACTTGCTTCCCAGCTCCCCCTTCCCCTGGAGAAACCCAAGGAAGCTTGGCGAGCGTTGGATGTTTTTGGGATGACCTATGCGCCCACTATCTATTTGCCCGACTGCTTGCTGGTGTTTGCTCTGGTCTTTAGGGATGTTTTTTGATGTATGTTCTGGCCTGTTCTTTGAATCTCTCCATTCTCTCCCCGACTTTCTCCCTCCCTCTCCCTCCTGCTTCCCCTGAGCTCCTCCGATCACCATCGACTCTACATGCACGCACACAATCCTTCCAGTGCAGACTCGTTTTCAGACCAGGATGCTGCGTTAGACGCAGTACAAAGGGCTCATTTCTGAACTGGCGAAGCTGTTCTTGGGATATGCTCGGATTCAGGCTTGCATTCGCTGCTCGCGTCTTCCCCATCGAAATCCCTCTAAACGCTAAGCCCCCTGAACCAGCAAGCCTCTTCATCCCACCCCCCGAAACCCCTCAACCTCAACTCCATGCCTCTACAGTGCCCTAAAGCAGGCACAAGCCTGGCCCATCCTCTGTTCCGGGCGCGACCTCATCGGCGTAGCAAGGATGCGGTTTAGGGTTTAGGGTTTATGGTTTAGGGTTTAGGGTTCCAATTCTTTCTAAGTCTGAAAGAGCCCATGGCTTGTGAGTGATAAGTACATAGACAGTGCTACTGGGCATTATGGATCTCTTGGCAAAAAAAGGGTTAATAGTTACAACAAAGACATAGTTTGGAAGTGTCTGGCTTCTAGGGACGAATTCTGCGCAGGACTGGCTCTGGCAAGACGCTGGCATTCCTGCTTCCTTGCGTGCATCTCAGATCTCAGCTGTCCGTTGTGCGCTTTTGCTTACTTGGGGTTTTGGGCTCGGGGCTTGTAAGTTTCATTGGCAGTTTGGGGCTTAAGTGCTTGCGGAGAGCCTAGGCTTACGATTGCAGGGAAAGCTTTGGAGACTTCGCATGGAAGATCGGCTGGAGTTGATCCCAGGCTTCGCCCGACTTTTGAAGGAAGGTCTCCGCTCCAGGACCCGTGGGAAGCATCCTTTGCAGCGGGGTTTTAGGCTTTGTGGTTCCGGTGCTCCGATGTGGGGTTTCCGAAAATGGGGGTACCCTTTTTTGGGGGGCATAAAAGGGCTACCCCTATTTTGGAAAATCCCCATGTGAGGGCAGACGTCTGACATCTGCACAGGATGGGCACAGGCAGCGGTCCGAATGACGACTCTTCTCTCCCGGACCGAGCCCTATCCAGCCAATGCCCTGCATGAGGCTGCAAACTACAACTACATGTGAGCAGTTGTCTGAATATGATGGGTCTCTGTCCTTCTCTGCGAACCACCGCTCGCCCCAGGTGCAGATGCAGAAGCAAGCTGCCGGTCCGGGGGCATACTCCCCAGAGGCTGCGTGGGCGACAGTGCTGTAAGGGGGTGTTGTACATGGTTGCACCAAGGCGTAAGAGCCCCCAAATGTGTTTGAATCTCGTTTTGTTTAAATGCATTTGCGGCGTTTGTTTCTTTGTCCTCCCAACGCTGACTACTACTTCAATTAGTTGAGCCCTCTGATTGAGGCGTGCTGCATATGCTGATGCGCCTGTGTATGCGTAGAGGTTCAGGTAAGATGGTGTAGATTTGCAGGATGCAAGACTCCGACTGGACAGGTGCTGATCTTGGCACCCTCGCGGGAGCTGGCAGCCGGCCTCTTACAGTAGCAGGGATGCAAGCTCCTTAGGGTTTAGGGTTTAGGGTCTCTAGGGTCTTAGGGTTTAAGGCCTGTCTTGCAGACTTTGCTTGGGATATCTTGGGCAACCCATCGTGTGCTTGGGGGGGGGGGTGCCTTGCTGGGGTTGGGGCGCGGGGAGGCTTCCCGTTCCGTGCAGGCATGTCATACAGCAATGTATTCATTGGACGTTGCTGCCTTTCATTGGCCATTGGAGTTCTGGCCCTGTGTTCTTGTTGGAGACCATATTGCTCCCAGCGGGGCATCATGAGACAGCGGAGCCAACGGATCAGCTCATTCCTGAAAGGCTGTCTCATGTCACAGGAATGGACCGAAATGGCTGTCAAACATTGCGACTTGGGATGTTCTCCCTTATACTAACAGTCCTTCATGGGGATCATAGTACCCCCCCTACCAAACAACCCCTATGAAGGACTTGGAGTATCCTGAATAGGGATTATACTACCCCCTACTATATTTCATCCCTACTAAGGATTTATACTATGCCGGGGAACATCCCAAATTGCGAATGTTCTCCAAGAATCGTTGAAGCCTTCCCTTCGCGCAGGCCCAGATCGAAACAGAGGCCGCAGCGTCTGTGTCTGCGATGGGCTTTGTGGGTTTAGGGTTTAGGGTTTAGGGTTTAGGGTTAAGGGTTTAGGGTTTAGGGTTTAGTGTAGGCAGGTCTTGGGCGTAGCTCTTCAAGGTCAGCTCTCGGAAATATGGTCTCTCTTGGGAACCCTAAATATGAAGGCCGTAGCAAGAACCCAAACAGGGACCCGACATCCTACCAGATTTCCCCTCGTGCTGTGAAATACCTCGATGGAGCGTGGAATCAGGGAGCTCTGATCTAGACATCTGCACTTTGTCATAGTTGGGTACCATTCTAAATTTTTTAAGGGTACTTAAACCCAATAAGGAAAAACAAATAAATTTTAATATTCTCCCAACCATGAACTAGTACAGCGTCAGGCGCGGCGTTTCACGGCGAGCACTGGCATCGTCACCCTAGCCTGTCGCTTGCTCAGATGCCTTGACGAGAGTCACACGTCTTGCTGAGCTAGGCAGCTCCCTGATCAGGGTTTAGGCTTTAGGGTTTAGGGTTAAAAATGACGAAGTGCTGTCCTGTTTCGACCTTCGCCGTTGATACTGTACCAGTACGGAGGTACTTCCAGGATCTGTTAGGGCTTGCGGTTGCTTTCTCTTTCAGGGGCTCTTCATGTCCAGCATGGGTGTGATATTCATTCCCAATCCCACACCATTCCCACCAGAAGCCTCGTCATAGACAAGGCAGGACACAAGTCAACTTGCAGTGCAGCTACTGTGTGTTGATGTTGTCCGCCGTCCACAATGGAGTGCAACTGTACGTCGTACGCTGCCTCTCAACATTGGTGCCTGCACCTTGAGATGAGGCTACGGCGGCGAAGGAACGCGGCGAGAAACGTCGGGTGCTAAGATTGCCCGTGGTTGTGACTTTACTGCGATGCTGCGCAAGAATGGGAGCGTTCTTCGTGAGCATTTTGTGAGTGCAAGTCGTAGGACCCCGCAACCCAAACAAATGGTTGCAATATTCCCTACATGAATCTTGCTGGAGACAAAAACTCCCCAACTCCTAGACCCTCTTACCAGTAGAGGATTTCTGGAGTTTCTTGGGCGGCTGCAATTAAACCTTCGCGGAACCCGAACGAATTTGCATCGGCGCGGCGTAGATAGGGTCAGCGGAAGGCCATGGAGCTTTGCAGCTTGCCACAAATTCGGATCCTTATCAACTTGCCCTCCGGAGCCTTCAGCTTCTCCGAAGCCTAGCAACCCTAAGCCTTAGACTGTTGCAGGCATCATTGTTTTTTTTTATTGTTATTACTATGATAATTATTATCATTATTGAATATCAAATTATTATTAATTATTATTACTACTATTATGAGTATTATTATCAGTATTATGATTGGAGCCACACACCTGAACCTGACCCTCTCAGCGCTCAGTGCAGGCTCGGCCGGCTGCGGGAGCGGCCGGAATGTGTGGCCTGGAGCCCAGCTGCTGCGGGACCCATGGCGACACTCTAGAGATCTCACGCCCTGAGGCCCAGGCTCCTTTCCGCAGCTCCAGGGGTTTAGGGATATATACATATATATATATGTATACATATATATATAGTTGTTATATACATATACATATATATGATTATATGTATATATATATATATATGTATGTATGAAGGTTCCTCATCAAGCATGTCCATGGGTTCATAGATGACAAGTTCCTCGTGTTCCCGTCCGAAGCTTCCGAAGGTCGGCACAGTTGGACGGCTGATTGATTTCATCGAGAATGAAAAGCACTGGCAGCAGCCTTCAAAGCCGACATCGCTTTTGGGCGTTTCAGGCGTTGGGGTTTCTAGGGGCTGGGGTCTTTCAGAATTCCTACAGGCTTTGGGAAGGCTGACAGGGTTGAAGATTGGTTTGGTGGTCCAAGGGCGTTTGGGCGAATGATCTTGAAATTCGGCTCGGTGTCGGTGCCAGGAAGAAGCGACTCTGGTTGGAATGCCCCGTTACAAGCCCTGCCCTGGCCTCATGTTCACTGTGTCCTGGGCCAAGGTTCGGCGTCAGAAATGTGCGCTTCCTCATCCTTGATGAGGCTGACAGCTTCGAATTACGAAACAAATAATGCAAGGAAGTGTGTACATGTTATACACAGAGAAGTATAGAGATACAGGCCTTCCTTGTGTGAGCACCTCTGATGCTAAAGCCACGACTTCAAGCATGCTAGTTGTGCAACGTTGAGCCGAAGGAGAGTTCAAAGGCTTGAGCCACAGCTGAGCCTCCTGATCAATCATATCCCACGAGCTGCCCACGCTTTCCTGCCTCAGGCTTCACCCCACATGCCCGCCTCACCAACTAGTCAACAGGGTTGAGAATGACTAAGGGACACTCCGGCCTGGTCGGGGCAGTATGAGCAACGGTACTCGTTTTTGCCCTGCTTGTCCTTGTACCTCCCAGGTGAAATTTCACCTGGCAAAGGACGTGCAACGACGTTGTGGTTGAAACTTCTGCAGCCGTTCCTCAGACATTTTTGTGGGGTTCTTGAGCTCCTGAAAAATGGCGCAATCATGTGGCTCCGAACCGGCCTCGGCCTTGGCGGCCTTGGCCACGTGCCGCAGCGTTGCCATTGACGAGGACACCTGCGCCCTGGACATCAGGCTGCATTCGGAGCACCCTGCCCAGCAGCAGCCCACGCCCACGAGCATGCACTTCGTGCTGGACAACAGTGGAAGCATGGGCAGCAACACTCGGAATGCTCAGAGTTGCTTTGCACGGCTTGTATCCTCGGCCACGGAGCCCAGCTCGCTGACCGTCTTCTCCAACGAAGCCACCCACATCGGCAACTTCACGACGGCTTCATCCATGCAGGCGGCCTCGCTACCAAGGCAGGGTCAGACGAACATCACCGCAGGCATCCAGACTGCTCTGATGGAAGTGCGAAAGCAAGAAGCCATCAATGGGGGCACGACCCACCACGTACTGATCTTGCTGAGCGATGGGGCGCACAATGTGGGCCCACACCCCTCCACGGGCCTGCCTCAACTTGGAGAAGCCCTTCGAAATGATCTGCCACGGCTCCGCCTCTCCGTAGTCGTCGTGGGTGTTACGTCCTCGTCGGACACCTCCATGGGCCTCTTGGCCTTAAAGGTTCAGGTCAGAGGGATTTTAAGGGGGGTGTGCAACGCTAGCGCTGCCAAGCAAGCAAGAGAGCGTATGCTTGTTCCCCTCCGACCCCAACCCAACACTTCATACAAACCACTACAGCTCTCTCAGAGCCTCCCAGAATCTCTCGAGGCATGTTGCTGAAGCGAAGCCTGGAGACGGTTCCTCTGGAGTCGTTGGAGCCGATCTACTTTGCATCCAGCGCCGCCAAGATGAGCGAGGTGTTGGTCGAGCTCACGGAAGGCCTCTCTTCCCTGAGGGGAAGCCTGGAGCACCGGCCGCACTGGAATGTGGCACATTGTTGTACATGCTTTGCAGCGCTAGTGCATGGTTATGGTGTCACATCAGCAGAGTGCAGGAAGACGATCATGCAGTGCAGGAGCAGGAGCAAAGCTTGTAGACGCTTTCTAGGGCTGTAGGCTGGATTCCTGCAGAACTGTTCAGGTAAAGGCCCAGCTGACAGGCCCCGCTGGGTTCGTGACATCGCTGGGCGCCGAACCGGTTCAGGAGGTGACCTTCATGTCGGGCAGCGGCGAGCAGTTCTTCGTCGTGAAGACCGCGGCTCAAAGCGCCAAGGCCCTGGAACTCAGCATCGACGGCCTGCCTGTCCCCTGTTTGCCCATGAACGTGTTTGACGTCGAGTTTGCCAGCTCTGCGTTGCAGCCCTTGCTGTCGCGTGCCCGTGTCGCACGAGTTGCCGGCCAGGCCGAGGGCCTTGCCCGCGCAGCCGTGGAACAGCTTGACCAGTGGGTGTCGGCTATCGAGCGGAAGTGTGAGCAGCAGAGTGAAGGGGCGACCTTTCGTCTGGCAGGCGTGTCCCCTCAGCAGCGCGTTGCCCAGCACAAGAGCTCCACACGCCTGCTGCATCACGCCCGCGAGCTGCGCAACCACCTGACCGAGCTCGAAGCCTTCCGAGTCAACAACTCCGCTGAGCAGGCGGCCTTCTTGACCGGCAAGTCTTCCAAGTACGCTGGGAAGGCATGGCAGAGAGAGGGAAGGAGGGAGTGAGGGAGGGAGGGCGAGCGAGAAGGATAAAGAGAAAAGAAAGAGAAAGAGGAAAGATAAAAGAGAAAGGAGGAAAGAGGAAAGAGAGAAGAGACAAGAGAAAAGATAAAAGAGAAAAGATGAAAGAGTAAGAGAAAGAGGAATATACTGAGAAAGAGAAAGAGGCAGAGAAAAAAAAGAAAGACACAAAGCAAAAACAAGCAGAAGGAAAGGAAGGGAAGGAAATGAGGGACGGAAAGGAAGGGAAGGGAATGAGAAGCGAAGGGAAGGGGAAGAGAAGTAAAGGAAAGGATGTGTGTGTGTGTGCGTGAATGTGTGCAGGGCTCTGTCCTTCAGGCTCTGAAGCGTGCTGCCCAACGTGGCGGCGGTGTCCAGGGCAGCGTTTCTGGGCTTGTGGAGGACATGTGCGCACAGGGCGCGAAGCTGCCGGCCGCTCTCCGACGGGACCTGCGTGCGAAGATCTCTGCACTCCCGGAGACCATGCGACAGCGCCTGCAGGAATGCCTGGAAGCTTCCGGAAGTTCCGGAAGCTCGGAAGCAGCCTCGCTCTGCAGGGGGGAGGTGTCTCCCAGCACGGACGCATTGCTAGATGGCCAAGTCATGGAGCACTTGCAGACATTGCTGGGAGCCCGCCAGTCGTATCTGTCTTTAAACACTCCAGGACAGCAGCTCAGCGAGTGGAGGACAGTTGCAGATGCAGGCCACTTGTGCGGCTCCGGGTACGAGCTCTTGATGTTTGTGGGCAGCTTGGGATATCCAATAGAGGTCCGCCGCAGGGACGCTACTCAGATGAACCCCTTTGCCATGGAGGTCGCGAACGTGCACAGTACCTTGGCAGACACGGCGTCCCTGCTCTGCGCTCTCCAGAGTGAGCAGGAGCTGACCCCTCCAGAGGGCGGGAAGCCGATCGAGGACTTGTTGGTGCTGGTGGACCCCGATTTCCCACAAGCCAGCCGCATTGTGGTGAACAGTGTGCTGCTACGTGAGACTTACACATCCGTTGTGCTGTGTCGGGACCTTCACATGTACACCGGCAACCTCATGCGCATTGCCCTCCATGCCCATGCACTCCTTGCAGCCGCTCAGCCCGTGCAGCGCGAGTGGGACGGGCTGCCCGTACAGGAGGCGGCCCTGGTGGCGCCTCCACCCTTTACTGAGGCACGCATCCAGCTACTCCTCCGCATCTGCTACTCCGCCAGGAAGATCTGGCAGCTTGACGAGATGGCGGACCTCTGCAGCAAGATGGAGAACTGGGAGGCACGTGACACAAGCACAAGGCATAAGAGACCCAGCTGACCCAACCCTGCCTCTGCCCAAATATTTTGGAGGACCTCACCACCGCCGACGGGGTGGAGCACCCAGTAAAGCTGCTGCTGGCCTTAGCCGCCGCTGACACTGGGCCACGAGTATGTTTGAATCTCAAGCGGATGTGGGGAGTGAAGACTGAAAGCAACACGACTTCTCGCAGCAGCTGACATGTAAGCCGGGAAGTACCTGTGTTCCGAAGTCTGCGCAAGTGTGGCTATGCCCGGCCTAGTTTCGCACCGTCAAGTGTCTAGCGGGTACAGCCCTCAGCCACACTCTTTTTTCGCTTCCCGACTTCAGGATGTGGGGAAGGGCTGCCTAGACCCCGTGCCGGTTCTGATGCTCCTCAACGAGGCCTGCCAGCGGAAGGGTGGTGATTCATGGCTGTCAAGCAGATGCCAAGCGGCATCCCGTGGTCATGAATGTCATGATGTGTGGCTAGTGCGCCCACTGGTAGTGTTTGCCTGCACATTGTTCTCTGGATCAGGTTTGCGCGCGGAAGGCGCACGACGACGTCAAGGCACGGCCGCAGGTCTATGCTGTCTTGAAAGTTTGCGGGGCAGCTCTCGCGACTCGCAGCCTGAGGCGGGAGTGAAGGCCGAGAGCAGGGTCCGCGCGTTCTTGGGCATCACCGCCGAGTCGGCGCCTACCTGCGCAGCCCTGGGCGAGGCAGAGCCCCTGTACGAGGTCCGACCAGGTAGCTGTGAGCCTCGTATAGCCTCGTTTGAAACTGATCTGAACCCGCGGTGTGGAGGTGGTGGCGGCGGACTGCTGTGCCGACTACGACCTGGACACCGGCGCCGCCGCCTTCGACTTCCAGAGCTGGGTGTTGGACGCCGTGTTGCGTTACGTGCCGGCGCTGCACTTCGTTCGCCAGCTGCATGCCTGCCTGGCCCATCGTCAGGGAGGTTGGGCGAAGCTTGAGCAGGACATGGAGGCGGGTCCCTGGGCGTATGAGGACGTGGTGGCTCATCTAAAGGCGGACCAATCAAGCCAGTCTCTGTTGGAGTGCTTGGGAACCACACATCTACAGCTGCAGCGCACCCTCGCCACCATGGCCGCGCAGGCGTATCTGTACGGCAACTCACATAGCCGACGCTTGAAGGAGGTAGGGGGAGACCTGGAGCAGCCGCTTGGCAACGTCACGGATGGCGACACGCTGCGGGCGCTTGCCGTGAAGGGGCGCATGGGCATCTACCTCGGCAGGGTCCAGGAGAAGATGCGGGAGTGGCAACGGGAGGGCACAGAGATGACACGTGCTCGTGCTGTCGTAGCGGACCTGGGCCAGTACTCTGATCTCTGCTCCTCGCACGTGCATGGCCTATCCAAGCCTGAATTCTGGGGCTTGTGGCGCGCAGCGCTTGCGGACGGCGGGCCGAATGGGCAGAAGGCCTTGGCCTTCTTGTCCAGGGCCAATCACGACTTCTGCAACAAGCACCGCCTGCCACGGTGATGAGCTCAGGGCAGCTCCTGTAGAGGTGTGCTTATGTACAGTGTATAGTCAGGTTCACCTCCACTTGGGAGATGCAGCTTTGCACAGATCACCATCCTGGACTCAAAAGGATCGTCGTATTGCCTCGGGAAGTTTGGCAACAATGGCCATCATCAGGATACCCATAGGTCCCTTTGGGTTGAGGTTGGCAGTGTTCAAACCCCTGCTTGTTCTGAGAAGAGTTTACATCGAATTCGTCTATAACGAATGGAATGTAAAGTCGGCTAGCATAGCCGAACACAGTACGACACATGACTTTCTAGATGGTAACTTCGAGCCACCTTTCCTGCAGGCTGATGCCATGATTGGCGAAGGCGTCGATGGGGACTTGCACATCATGCAGACACTCAGACCTCCTTGAAAGTAGCTCTGTAGCTCTGACTCCTGGTCTGCTTTCAGGAGTTCTGTTGGAGTAGCAGTTGAGTTGCTCGAAGTACATGCTGATAGGTGCCGCTTTGCATCCTTCAACCATGCCTTTTTGTCAATAGACGGTCAACTCCATGCTACTGCATGCGTATGCGTTTGTTTGACCCCCAGCTTCGCCCCATCCATTCAGGACTTGACGCAAACATCCGCAAAATCACCTGCGATGTGGAGACGCCGCTAGATGCTTGGTCATCGCAGACGGGCAGGGAATGATGGATAATATATATATATATATATATGTATACATACGTACGTACATACATACATACATACGCGCCGCCACGTGGCCCGAGGGATACTGCACCGCAGCTCTCGGCTGCCGAAGCACTGACATGTGTGACACCGTCTTGTGGTCAGTGTTGTGGGGTCGTTCATGCCACAGGGCCACAATGGCTCCAGCATACACAGATGGAAAGTGCGCTGACCCTGAAGTCGAATCCTGCACTCTGAACAGCCGCCGCACACCTGCACACCCAAGTTGAGCGCAGACCACGTCCTACCACGTCCTAGGCGACGGCAGACGATGCTCTTCTCCGCCACCTTTGCAGATGATGCACCGATCTCATGAGAGTGATACCGACTTCAGCTGCTATAACGAATTAAGCGGCCTGTGCCCAAATTACTTGTGACTTTGCAGCTTCATCTAAGTTGTGGACCATTTGTGGGGTCTATTTCCTGACATGCCTCATATGCTTCAGGGTGCCAAATGGCCTATGGTCTGGATGAGAACCCTCCCGCGCCACACTCCCCCACACTGAAACAAGGTCAGCGATCTGGCTACATGGATCAGCCAGGGCCGCAGGAAGTTACAGGAACGTTTCGCGAAAATCCTTACGTATCTCCATAGGGGGCAGGGTTCGTTCATTGAAGTGGCGCTGCTTGATTCTTGGATACTTGGGGGTCGCTGCCTCGGCAGCCGGACCGGCCCCAAGACAGGAAAGGAGGAAAGAGGGGTAAGGGGGTGGGGGGGTAGGGGGTTGGGAGGCCCGATCCGGGTCTGCTTGCTCCAGACGCTTCTCAACAACAGGCGAATTAGAGCGTTCGTGAGAGGGGTTTCGCGACTCTTGCGGCCTCCACCTTGGGATGTTCCCCCCTCATACTAACAGTCCTTCAAAGGGCTTATAGCACCCTCTATTTTAATCCCTATGAAGGACTGTCAGTAAGTCAGTACAAGGGGGAACACCCCAACCTCCACCCTTGCCTGTGCAAAGGCCGGCATGCTGTTGAAGTGAGGGTCGGCATGAAGGACGGGCCGTGGAAAATGGTCCCTTCTTTAGGGTACCCTAAATAAGGTGGCCGCCGTAGAATAAGGACCCCAAGAAGACAATGCCCATAATGTAGAGCACTCAGCAGGTATCACCCGGGCTGGGTCCGGCAACCCTGAGCCATAGAACCCCTTAAACCTCAAGACCCTAAAGCCCAAGACCCTAAAACCCTTAGAAAGGCTTGCCTGTAACTGCTACTGCCCGAATTAACCCTACTTGGTGCTCCAGGATCCACTTCGTGCGAATAAGGACGTCAGGCAAGAAGTCATCATTGCCGCGGCCTCATGAGCTGCAGAACGGGGCTTGGGATCTCCTACAGGGTTTGGGGGCTGTTTGAGGTTTCGGGTTCGGGTTCGGGTTCAGGGTGCGACTTGACGCATCTGCTGTTCAGGCTGTTCAGTTCCTGGAGGCTGAAATCCTACCACTGTTTTTTAAAATTTGGTATTTCTATTTCAGGTCAGGATAGAAGGCAGAGACTCAAAGAAGGGATGGGCTAGCAGCCTTCAGGCAAGGTGGGGATCGTTCTGAACAAGGGCCCTTTTTTCGCGGGGATTGCATTGTGCATGATTGTAATGCGCACCCTGCAAAAGGTGGACCCCCTCACTTAGAAACTCTCTGAGGTGAAGGACGAGTTTGACAAGGAAGGAGCGCTCAAAAGCACTTTGCGAAAAGTGCAGCTCGGCGTTTCCATTTTTTGCATTGTAAATCAAGAGTTCACTTTTGATCTTTTTGTATGGTTACGGGATGAAGCCTTTCTCCATGCTGTGTTTGCAGGTACAACTCGCACGTCAAGTCTCCTGGAAAGGCAAGGAGTGGGGGCAAATGGGTTTGTCCGATGCCAGTGGCTCTCAATGGATGCGGCTCAGGGTGTTGGGCTTGCTTTCCTGAATTGTGGTTGGGATGTTCCCCCGTCTACTAGCAGTCCTTGATCGGGAGTATAGTACCCCCTACTATAGAATCCCTTTTAGGGACTGTTAGTCTAAGGGGGAACATCCCAAAGTTAAGATATTGTGGGCCGGGTCCGTCGCATTGCTTGGCTTGCCATCGGAAGGTGTTGGTTTTTGCCTTTGACCATGACGAGTGCGACGCCTTGGCAAAGAAAATCAAGGCGGGGCGTCGCATGCCAAGGGAGCCGTCATCCAGTAGGCATGCATGTTTCAAAACAAGCCCTGAAATCCCTAAACCCTACAAAGCGTAATACTTGGGGGACAACATGCAGGGTGAGCTGATGTGCTCCGGGATTCTACTGGTTCAATCTCTGTAAGGCAGCGCTTGGCATCTCAGTGCAACCCTCAGACTTTTGCCTTTTCCGCAGAGGCGGCCGTGATGCTCCTTCCAGGACAACAGCATTTCACTCGTTGGCAAGCTCTTGCGCAATGAGGTAGAGACCCTGCACGGCTACAAGAAGCAAAGCGAGCGAGAAGCAGTCTGGGCCATGGGTGCAGACAAACTGCTTGACATTGACATGTATAGTTTCGGCCATGCCTGCGGATAGTACACTGGTACGGGTATCTGGCTGCGCACGAAGTCAGCGATTGCGGCTACTGTGGCACGGCAAGTACCATTTTTTCACCCCAATGATTGTCAGAGCTGCGCGGTCGATCATCTCAACCACGGCGAAAGGCTCAAGCACCATGTTCTTGAACCTTGCGAACTGATGGTGTCTGAGTGGGCATTTGGGTAATGTATGTGCCAGTCTTGAAGGGTTTGGGGGTTGTGCGTTATTTAGCACGACAGAATGCACCAGCAATTTGTCTCAAGTGCACAGAAGCCCCTCAACTGATCCTGCCCCCTCTGACCTCGGAATTTTGTTTATGCGGCCAAGGCCATGCATCGCTTTCGCAATGGGGACTCCTCGATCATGGCCATCACCCCAGGACGAACCTCCACGTATGCTTCACGGAACTAGGTGCATACCATGCAAAGACTGGACACTAGGAATTTGGGAGGTAGACTTCTTCAAATCCCTGTTGTTGTTCGGAGCCCTTGCGGAGATCCTGTGTGTTTTCTTGCGGATGTCGGCGGCTGCGTGCTCAGGTGGCCACAAGCGTTGCCGGGCGAGGACTGGACATCAAGGACTTCCCCCTTTTGCTTGCGTTAGTAGCACAGTCTCACAGATGAGAAGTCTCCGGACGCAGCTTCATTCAGAGTATCCTTGGCAATCCTTGGAGTTTTTTCACAGCCTCTTCAACATTCGTCAGGAGTGCTCCGAGATTGTCCAGGGATGTTAAGGGCCTCCTTGCGCTGGAGTCGGCACATGAGGGTTTCTTCAGGACATCATGATGGTCATCAACTTCGACCCGCCTGAGGAACCGCTGACAGTAGGCTCCAATAGACATAGGGCCATGACTCCATCATTCCTCCGAAGGTCGATCCACTGTTGCTTGCATGCCCTGTTTCAGCCTTGCAACATCTGCACACAGCGGCAGAGTGCCATGTTGTTGCGTTCAGTTGCGCCGTGCATGTGTCTCGGCTCAGTTGCGCACAAGCAGGAATTTTCTGGTGAGACCTTACTGTGCCGGAATCGCTGTCCTAGCTTCGGTCCAGAATCGAAGTGCGCTCGAATCGTCCTCCCCTTTCCGAGCTTGAGTGGAAGAAATGGCTCAGATGTATGCCGACGACCAGAAAATCTCCGACCTGGTAGAGAAGGCGGGGCCTTGTCACAGAGAGAGAAGTGCTTCCAAGTTGTGCAGGCTCTGCCCCCCTGGGATTGCCCTTTGTGTTTGTTCTTCAGCTGCTTGGGAGCCGCGCATGGCTTCATGCCTCTATCCATGATTATGTGCTCATCTTCACTTCATGCAGCGTTCAGCACGTTTGATGCGGAGGTGCCGCCAGGCTGGTTCTCCTTCGAGTACTTCCCTCCGAAGACGCCCGAGGGCGTCGAGAACCTTCGCAAGCGAATTGAGACTCCACGGCAGCCAGTGTAGAATGTAGACCCTCATTCCCGCTTTGAGCAAATGATGGTGCTTTGGAACCATCTTAGAAACAAACTCCACTTGACCTTGCCCAGGTGAAGATGAAGTCTTTGGGCCCTCTTTTCACAGACTTCACCTGGGGTGCCGGAGGTTCCACATCGGAGCTCACTCTGAAGCTGACGTCCGCAGACGCTCGACTGCTCGACTGCTCGACTGCTCGATGTGGGCTGCGCAGTGTTTCATTGGCCATGGCACCGCTGGTCGAGAGAATGAAAGGATTCTCCTAGAAACTACTCCGGCTTAGTGTTCTAAATGAAGGAGGACTCAGATGTCAGGGCATACAAGTACAGTTAGTTGTTCAACGGCCCTAGACTACAGGGCTGTTGTTCATTAGGCCAAGAACGAGTTCGGCTGCGTCGCCAACATGCACCTGACCTGCACCAACCAGAGCTCGGAGATGACTGGCAACGCAGCCCGGCTGATCTTGAAGCATCCTCTCTGTCTTTTGGCACGTTGGGTACTCGAATCCCTGCTTCACATCCTGCATGCTCCAGTATTTCTGTCATGGCCCATACAATCTGAGGAAGGCAAAGGGAACCATGTTGTTGCTGAAGCACTCCCTGCAAAAGCATCATACAGCTGCTGTCTATGTAATTTCGCCCACTCGCAGCACGCTCACGGGACATGAGCACATAGATAGAGGATAGGAATTGCTTTGAGCCGAGCAAGTTGATTGACATTTTGCAGCCTCCAAATGATCACGACTTTTTGTGGCTCTTCGTGGCCTCAGAAGGTCGAAGGGCTGGACACACATGAAGATTTGGGACGATCGGACACTGATGTCCATGTTCTTAGGCACCCGACAAGCTAAATGTACGCAACGCTCCCAAGACATGGCTGACGACCTGATATAGTCTGAAGAGCTGATATAGAGTCGCACATGCCCGACTCCAGTTTGACGGAGCTATGCGAGCGCGTGCATCTGAACATGTGTGTTTAGGAGCTCTTTCGCAACGGTTTGCAGTGGACTCATCTCCGGAAAGTCTTGGGGCCAACGCACCACGCAGGGTGGTATATGACAGCATATGACAGCAAGGTTCCGATGATGGCACAATTTTCCCCCCTGACAGGGTCTGAGCTAAAGCGCCTGCTGGGAAGTCACAAAAAAGAGTTGGCTCCTTTTCGGTGTTTAACAAGGCTCGGCTCGTATGCGCAGAATTATCACCAAAAGTAGGAACCCAAGCTGTTGCAGACTCGTGCGCATCTGCCCGCAGGCACTTTTGGATTGCAAGAAGCACGGTGTCCGCAACATCGTTGCCCTTCGCGGCGACCCGCCACGTGGTCAGGAGAAATGGACGGCCACGGAAGGTGGTTCGGGAGCGCTTCCATTTAGGAGCACAGACAACAATTAGGTTCGTACGGGGTCCAGGGCTGTCCATGTAGCATTGCCGGAAATGGAACATGAGCGGAAAGCAACACAACAGCTGCACAAGCTACGCAAAGGTGCTTGCAGGTGTTCTGGGCTGAAAATGCTGGGCCTCTCAAGTTACAAATTAGGACGCCGATGTAACGATTTTCAAGTCCAATGTTGAGGGTCTTGCTAGGCCTTGGATGATACTGAAAACCCATGTCGCAATTGGGGCACGACGGCTTCCTACGCTTAAAAAAGTAGGGCCAAACTAATCAGGGTTAGGGGTTTAGGGTTGACAAACCAGCATATGGGGGGGGGGGGGGGGGAGGCTCACGGACTCCGGCAAATGCCGTCGCACCCCCCTGGCTTTCGTCGACCCCTCGGTCTTCATCGAAACCCTTTTTGGCCTTCGTGGAACCCCCTTTTCGGATGCATAAAATGGCTCCCGGCCTTCGTCGAACTTCGTCTTGACGTGTGGGTGTGCCGAGGCCTTCACTGAGTTTCCCCCAAGCTTCCTGCTCATCCCCATCCTGATGCATTTGCCTCTTCACAAACCTCTTTGCTCATTGCAACCCCTAAATCTCAAACTGGAAAGGTGGCTTCTCCAGTGCGCTGGACCTGGTGAAGCGCACCGGCCAAAATTGCATTCTTCTTGATTGCGTGTCGAGACGAGAAGTGTTGAAGGTTCATGATGCCGGCAACAAGTTGTCTTGTGGCAGAGTTTACAACGCCCCCCGTCCGGGCGCGAGAGAAAGAGACAAAGAGGGAGATAGGGAGAACAAAGGTGGTGGCGCACCTTGCAAGGGGCGAGCGAACTCCCGTTTGCCCCACGAGACGGAAACATCAAGAGTTTGCTGTCATGTGTGCTGTTTGTAGCCAGGTTCATCACCCAAAACCACGGTGACTACTTCTCGGTCTCCGTGGCAGGATACCCGGAGGGCCATCCTGACAACATCGAGGCGTGGCCTCGGAATAATTGTCGATCCTGTAGTTCAGGTCTGGAATCTGCCATTTCAGCGGGCAGTTCAATATCTATGTATGTTATAATGTATAAGAAATCCCCAACAATGAACTGGCCCAGTCAGGGCTTTGCTGAAGCCTGTCATGCAGAGAAGGCTTGTTCGACAGACTTCTGGGGTTCCCCCAGCATGAGTCATGAGATGTGCAACCATGCAGCCCAACCCTAAACCCTGTACCCTAAACCCTGAACCCTAGTTAGGCCCTGCTGGAAAGGTGGTTGAGGGTGGCGTGGCGGCCTTGACAGCATCGGAGAAGCGCCGCGCCCGCGTGGTGACCGATGCCGAGGGTAGCTGGACGACATCTATCGATGTACAGGTTTTAACTTGGGATGTTCCCCTGTTATACTCACAGTCCTTGGTAGGGCCGGGATTATAGTAACCCCTTATAATCCCTACTAAGGACTGTTAGTATAAGGGGGAACATCCCAAGTCTTAACTTCACAGAAGCTGGGTTATGAATGTAGGGGCCATTGACAAAATAATCATGACCTTGAACTCAAGGGGTTCAAGAACAGCTGAGGCAAGGAGGTGGTCTCTGTCTGCCGAGATGCAAACTTCCACAAGGAGCTGGAACGCAGGTGTGTAGGGGTGTGTGGGGCCGGGGCATGTGGTCGTCGTGTCCGACATTTCAATTACGACCATTAGGAGAGGGATCGTGGCTGATCGCCACTTTTTTGATGAAGGAGATGGTTTACCTCAAGGAGAAGGTCGACGCAGGGTCCCACTTCGTCATCACCCAGATGTTCCTGGATGCGCAGGTGTTCCTGGACTTTGTGGACGAATGCCGCAAGTATGATATCAAGGCGTGCTCCGAAGCTCGCCGGGTTTAGGGTTTAGAGTTTAGGGTTTGGGGTTTAGGGTTTAGGGATTATAGGGTTCAGGGTTTCGGAACCTTTGGGGTTGCCCTGAGTTGACCCACGCTGTGTCAGCTCCCACTGTGCTGCACCCTCCAGGTGCCCATCGTCCCTGGCATCATGTGCCTCAATGGGCTCGGTGGCCTCAAGCGGATGACCGAGCTCTGCAAGACCCGAGTGCCCGAAGGTCTTCCGATTCCAACTCGTGCTCTCTCTTGGGTCGTACTCGTAGGGTATCTTTGACACGCGTACGCTTTCATCCACGCTGCTCCCCCCCTTCCATTCCCACGGCATATTCAGGTGACGAGAGAGGAACTGAGGATTCATTGCAAGGTTTTGGCACGGCAACCGACCTGAACCCTATAGACCTTAAATCCTAAAGCCACCGAATTCGATGTTGCGTTCCCGATGTGACGTTACCAAGAGGGCTCCTGGAGCGCGCGGAGAAGGCGAACACCTCGGACGAGGCGTTCAAGGACGGGGAAGCCTTAGCTGAGATGCATTCACGTGCTGAGTTACGTGTTGTGATGTGCTATGTGTTATGTGCTGTGTGTGATGTGCTGTGGTCGGGGGGGGGGGGGGTGCGTGGTATTTGAACTGAATAAAGGACCTACAGCAAGGAGGCCCAGGCTTTTCTGCGCCGGTGCCATTCGTGCTAGGGTGTGAAAGAAGCAACAACGAGACACCATCTCATCTACTCATGCGGTTCAACCTGTACGCTAGAGTCCATCCTTCAACCTGTGATGGGTCGGTACGTAGCAGGGGTGAAAACCGCTGCAAGGAGGGGGAGGACCCTAAACCCTAAGCCTGCACAGAAAGCCAGGAGTTCGGTATTCGGGAGGGCGTTGCCATGTGCAAGAAGCTTGGCCGCAGCCGGCTCAGCGCCCCGGTCCCCCTCCCGAACCCATCCCTGAACCCTCTACTCGTACACCCTGAATGCCAAAACAATCCTGCAGCCCCAAGCCCTACAATGCTCAAGCACTGAACCCACAACTCTACCACCCTGATTCTTATTAACAAGGTTTGTGATGGGGAATTCTGAAAAGTGATGATAATGATACTGTGAGGAAGCTCCTGGAGGGCGGTGCCCCCGGGCTCCATTTCTACACCCTGAACCTGGAGAAGGCGGCCCCTGGTTTGGGGGGGGGGGGGGGTTTTGGCGGTTTATGGGGGGCTTGTTCTAGGGTCTGTGGTTTCTGTTGAGGGAGGTTGGGTTCATGACTTCTCTGCGCATGTGGTTCCTTCCGCTGCGTTTACAGCTGTGTTTTTCGATGTGTTGCTGGTATCCCTGTGGAGTCTGCACAAGTTTCCTTCTGGAGACCTTAGTAGCATCGACTGAATAGTGCCTCTTCTCACGGCCCATATTCCAGCGCTGCAACCTGCAGGATAAAGTCGCAGCTCATCTGCGACCCGAACCCCAGCGCCCAAAAATGCCAACCCGGTCTAGGTACTTCGTAGCAACCTCAGACCTTCTCGGTTGAGCTGTTGAAGGCCCAAATGGGCAGTTCTGCAATTTCTGGGGGTGGGGGCGGGGGGAGTGGGGGTGGGAGGACTCTACATCACTCTATAGTCTATAGCCCTGTAACCCTGTCACCCCACAAATCTAAACACTCTAAGCCCTAAAAATTGGGATGTTCGCCCGTTTACTAACAGTCCTGAGTAGGGAGTATAGTATCCCCGACAAGAAGCCCGATTATATAAGGACAGAAGTCCCAACCGAAAAGACCCCTTGAAGTCAGGTGGTCGTTGGCATTCTCAAGGGCCTGGGCAAGATCAGCGACGCTCAGGCGGCAGCCTTCCAGTCTGTCATGGCCCCAGAAATTTGGGGAAGAGGGTTTAAGGTTTAAGGTTTAAGGTTTAAGGGTGAGGGTTTAGGGTTCAGGTCTTGTTCCGTAGGGTTCGTTAACATGCAAGGTCGCTCTTGGGGCCGTATACATATGCATGTCTGTTGTGAATCTGTTGTGTAAAAGCATGCTAGCAAGATCTTGCAGCATCTTGAAAGTGCTGAAGCTAGTATACAAGGGACGTGGCCTCCCTCGCCCGCTAGATTGTGGCGAGTCGACATGTGGACTTTCGTTGTCCGTTTCTTTACCTAGGTCGAGGCGGATGCAAAGTTCATGGTCTCCGCGCAAGGCATCACCACCGGAACGCAGGCGGATGAGACTTGCAGAAGTTGCACTAGTGGCTGGTGCTGAAATCCCTGCCGCACCACCTTGCGAGGCCAACCGGCCAGCCCTCCCAGGCAACAAGTCCCTCAAAGAGGCGGATCCTGTCATGTCCCTTTGGCAGCAAGTTCAGGGCATGGCCTGGTGGACCTCCAGGAATGTCATGGGTTGGAACTGTGGCATCCAAGAGGGTTTTTCCTTGTTCTTTTTGCTAGTGCTTCCTGGAACATGGCAGGCATGAAGGCAAAGTTGATAAGTGAGCCTGCAGCATGAAACGCGCAGCTTGAGGTACGACCTTGTTCAGCAGGAGAAGGCCAGGCAAACGCGCTCCTCGGCCATCTGTGTTTGGGGGGGAGCCTCAACCCTCAAAGCCCGAAGTACCAAATTTAGTTGCGGCCTTCGCGTCCAATCCTTGCACCTGAGCCCATAGGGCCAGTCCAGACTTGCCAGCGAGACTAGAAAAAGATCCCCTGGTTCTTAGTAGGGAATGAAGGACTTAGGGCCCTATATATATATATATACCCTTTGAGGGATTGTTTATGGGATTATACAGGGTACCTGAATCCCTCATTCCCTACTAAGAACCAGCCAGAAGAACTTGTTGAATCTCCAGGGTAGTTTGAGGCGGCCTCACCTTGGGCCCCGTGTCCTTACGATTTTCGAGCTGTACGCAGGTTTAGGGTTTAGGGTTCAGGGTTTAGGGCTTAGGGTTTTTCAGACTTTTTTGCACGTCCATACATACATGCACATGTGTATACATGAGCCCGGTTTTGTACGAACCCTGGCTAGAAAGGAGCCAAGGAAAAGCGGACAGTAGCACTTCAGGCCTAAATGCTTTGGTCTCAAGAGAGTTGGATTGGAGACCTGAAAGCCGAACCCCTTTCTAACTTGTCTTTGGGATGGGGATCGTGTAAGCGTAATAATATCTACGGCCGGGTTAGAGTACCGCCCCAAAACATGCAAATGCACAAGTCGTGGATCTTTTGCAGGGTGGTTTAAATCAATTGATCCGCACTTGCTGCGGAAGGACCTGCCAAAGTGGACCACAGCATGCAACCCCAAAAGGTACACAGGCTTTTGCCATCCCCACCGGTAGCTACCTACACCTTCGACCAAGAGGTTGCATCGAGCTCATTGCCTCAGAGAACTTCACATCCCGAGCCGTCATGGAATGCTTGGGCTCGGCCCTCACGAACAAGTTGGGCTCCCAGAATCGCGGTGTCTAGAGCTCTCGAATTCTTAGAGCACCGGGACATTTGCAAGAGGTCTTTTCGCCGAAGGGGTTACATGAGAGTGTTTATAAATCCCTGCTCTCCGTGTTTGTCTCGTGGCGGCTTCGTTCTCCTCTCGTGCTTTTCAACTTACGTGAAGATGCTGAAAAAGTCCGGCTGTCAGTGTTCAGACCGCGTGGCCCACGCGGTTTCAAGTGTAAACGCTTCCACGGGACGCGCACGTCGGCGAATCAACCGACATGTAAACCTGAAGCCTTTCTTGCCTTGATTGCAACAACAGCAGGCTCAGCAAAGCCTTCGGTGCAGATGTGGTCTATGCTCGTGTGCTTGCTGTGCCAAGGGAAGCTAGGGGGGTCGTCCCACGTTTTGTGCCCACCCTTTGCCCCCGCAACGGCATCGGATTTCCGCTCCCCAAGCGAAGCCGGCAGCATGTATGCTTGTTCCAATCGCCTTTCGGGCCGGTTCCAAGATCGGAAATTCCGGTGCGCATGCACATGGTTTTGGCGGCAGAAGGCATCTGTGAACAGCCCAACTGTCCTGACAGCTACCCAGCTCCACTGCGTGAATCTGCGAATCCGAAGCAAAATCTTTCAGTACTGAGTCCTCGCACACACACCATGTCTATGTATCGCAAAACGTCCTTCGGGCAGAAGGCCAAGTCGTCCACATGGCGCACCTGGCTTACCAGATGTTTTGGTGTTTCCTTCTTCCTTTCTTAGTCCTCCGTTCCTTGCATTATTGTTTGTAATTCTCCTCATGGCTTCTTTTACATAATCCAGCATTATTTTGTGTTGCTCTAAGTTTTCTTATGCTACGCCCTTCCTGTCTCTATCTTTTCCTCCTTCTACTCGTACCACAGAAATATCTGCCGAGTCTCCCCCATTCTTGCTTCTTAGCGTTCCTGCTGGCACAAGTTCGAAAGAAAGGGACGCTTTGATGACGCTCAGGTATTCCGAGGGACAGCCTGGAAATCGCTATTATGGTGGCAATGAGGCGTGGATCCAATGTCCTGTGCAGGGAGCAGCTTTTCATACTGTGGCTGGCGGGACAAGAACCCGGCATTTTTGCGTCCGCTCAGCAGTCACGTTGTTTCACTTTATGTCCGCCTGATCAGCAGTGCGCACGATGCCCGGGATGATTGAAACTACAATCAAGAACGAAAGTGATGATGATGGTGGTGGTTGTGGTGGCGGTCTAGTGGCACCGGTGCTGGTAGGGCAGGGGTGATGGCAATATTACTGTTGACAGCGCTCGCGGTGATGTTTACAATGATCGTCTTGATGGTGTCGTTGTGATGATGACGAAGAGAAAAAGCAGGAGGAGGTGAGCTGCTTACATCCTTTGCAATCGTTGCTCATCAGTCTGAGGAGCTGCTTCATCGAGGTGCTCGACATACAAACTACAATCACTGCACCTTTCAAAGTGCTTGCGTATTGTGACTTGGTGAAAAGAGCCTTTGAGCAGGTCATCGACAAGGTGGAGAACCTTTGCAAGGACCGTGCCTTGAAGGCCTTTGGCTTGGATGAGAAGGCCTGGGGCGTGACCTGTCCGCAAGCTGGCCTTCTCCTCTCTCAAAGAGCGACGGACACTCTGAAGACTCCCTGGCCTGGGGCTTATTCGGGCGTGCGCCTGTGGCAAGCGCATCCTGAGGTCAATGTCCAGCCGTATTCCGGGAGCCCGGCCAACTTTGCAGTGTACACGGCCCTGCTGCCGCCCCATTCCAGGCCTGTTCGGTGGAGGGATCCCGATTGCCTCACACGCCTGAGCTGATGAGGGCCTACCCATGTGTGTCGCTTGTGATGGCACCCTGTTCTCTGGGCAGGGTCATGGGACTCGACCTGCCCTCCGGCGGGCACCTGACCCATGGCTACTACACCGCCAAGTGGCTCGGCTGAGCACGAGCGCAGCGCCAGACAGGTTGACACCACTTTGCCAGACATCTCTACGAAAACTTGATTTGCCAATAGCATAGCACCTTTCTCATTTCGCTCAGGAAGAAGATTTCTGCCACCTCCATGTACTTCGAGTCGCTGCCCTATCGCGTGCATCCGGAGCCACGCGATGCAGGGCTTGCGCAAATGGTAATACGTGCAGAGGAAATCCCAAGACTTCCTGTGCCCTCATCTCCAGGCTTCCCCACGTGTGTGCTTGTGTGTGCTGAGAAAGACCCATTAAATTGATTGAGATGATGTGAGATTTTCAGATCCCACAAGCTTCCTCCGCGTGCAGGTGGCAGCAACACCTAGCCCTCTGGCTCCACCAAGACCTTAATTTGGAACCTGCACAACAACCTTTCAAGGAAGGCCTCAACCCTGCAACCGCAACCATCTTTAACCTTCAACCTTTAACCCCAATCGATCGCGATGGTGTCGGCAGGAGACGGGGTTGATCGACTTCGACGAGTTGCGCAAGACTGCGCTCGTCTTCCGCCCAGCCATGCATTCTGACAGCAGTCGTTGCGACCCATACTGGAGTTCGGGGGTAGTAGTTGTGATAGCCTGACCATCGGAGTCTGCACACCAAAATCCTCCAGTTGCAACCAGTTACTGTAGGGCTGGGCCTTGTCCGGGTCGACGTGAGGTTGTCAAGATGCAATATTTCAATTCCTGACAAGCGTACACTGTACTGGAACTGCTTGGGCCGAAGCCTATTTGGGGAACCCCTCAAGGCTTGGATAAATCTCACTGCCAGAAGACGTCAGACGGAAGGTTTTGAACTGGTTGAGCGTTTGCTGCGTGTGCGCATCGGTGCGCCTTGTACTTTGCGAGGCTCACTGCAAACCTCTGTACGGGTGACATAGTAGCCGGTATGTAGTGCGATTAGCCCGGGTGGCTGATTGTCAGGAACTATACCCCAAGTGAAGCTGAGGATCTTGTGTGGGGCCTCCGCCTACCCTCGTGTCATCGACTTCGGCAAGTTCAGGGAAATTGCAGACGAGGTGCGGGATCCGGGCCCAGGGCTGGGGAGGGGCGCTTTCAGGGGTTGAAAGGGTTTGGGGGTTAGGGTTTTGATGGTTTGGTCAGGACTTAAAATTTACCACCCGCCCCGCCACCAGGTGGGTGCGATTTTGATGGCCGACATCGCGCACATTTCGGGCCTCGTTGCCACAGGAGACGTGTTCGGAGTCTTCGACGGTGGCTGTTCGTTCAAGCCCTAAGCGTTGGGTCAATTCTGCAAGCAACTGGTCGAAGAAGAACCCACGGAAGCTCATCAGGAGAGCATCCATCTCCCTTCGAGCACTGCGACGTTGTGACAACCACCACGCACAAGCCACTCTGCGGCAACCGCTTGCATTCATGGATAGCAACCGCGGCAACTCCTGCTTGCAGTTCTATGATGCACCCTGCCGGGAAATCCTGCAGCATCCTGAAACCACCTGTCGGGGGGAATTTGTGAAACGACCGTCCCTTTCGTTTGTCGCAGAAGTGCATGGCAAGCCGATATCTGCAGGGCATGCGGGCTTCAGGTCCCTTCGCGGGCCGCGAGCCGGCATGATCTTCTTCAAGTACACGGACAAGATTCCGGACATCAAGGAGCCCAGCTGTCCTACGCTGCCATCTCCAGTCCTCCTATCAGACCTTGCAGTTCAGGTGCAATCCCATCGGTTTTAGGAGCCGCTTTCCCATCTCAGCTCGCAGCCATCTTTGCGTTCTAAGTCCTGTCATGGATCAGAGACATTGGTTCCCAGAGGAGCGCATCGACATGGCGGTCTTCCCAGCCCTGCAGGGCGGGCCCCACAACCACCAGCGCCCCGGGCAGCAGGATTTGCCACCGGTTTTACGACCAGATCTGCTTGTTAGTTAGGTAGATCGATTAGGCATGGAGTGATCATCCTAGCGGAAAAAAAAGTTGAGCCCCCCTTCATATCCAAATTGTCGGAACTTGTCTGGATCTGCAAAGGATCGGTGGCCTCGCCGCTCAGTTGCTGGAGGCGGGGAGGGTGATTTTTCGAACCTGATCTCTTGGCATGACATGTCAAACGAAGCCTCGTGCCAACAGCATGCGAAATCACAACTGCAAAGGATCAATAGGATCGCTTCAAGGCCTCCCGACACCTGACCATCAATGGGTGGAAACATGGCAGGTTGACAGCCCCATGTAGGCTTCCCTTATCATAAGGACGCCAAGAGGTACCCCCCCCCCCCCCCCCCCCCCCTAAGTTCGGAAACCCCCAAACATGAGCATGGCAGGTTGACAGCCCCATGTTCAAGGAGTACGCCAAGCAGGTCAAGGTGAATGCCAAGGCCCTGGCCGAGACCCTGATGAGCAAGGGGAGCCCTGCTGGCAAGGAGTGTGCTGCTTGAGGCGTATAAGGAGATATATATATATATATATATATAATATACCTTATATAGCCCCTAAATAACCCCTAAATATCCCTGTTGATAGTTCTGCAGTTCGTGCAATAATGTGTAATAGACTCAAAGCCCATTTTTTGACTGCGACTTGGCTCACATGCCACAAGTCACCAGTGCCTAGCAGCCAAGGCACAAGCTCGCCAGCGATGGCACTGACAACCACCTGCTGCTCTGGGACCTGTCACTTGATTCACCCATGGTATGCACGCACTGCTCATTTTCGGCCGGCCCTTCCATTCTAAGGCGACCTCATGGCCTCACTGGCTCCAAGGCGGGTCCGGAGCATGCGAACGACATGCAGTTTTCCAGGTTTTGTGTATCAAATTCTGTTTGAGGAGAGATGTTGGTTGTCGGGCTACCAGTCATATCATATAGTATTCGGAATTTCTCATCACGGCTGGCGAACACAAGATCACAGAGAACAGCCCATCCCTGCGGAGGTTGAGAAGATCTGTGAGGCGGCGTCGATTACCCTGACTCTTGGCTTTGTCGAGTCAGGGATAAGCACCGGGTGCAGGCAAGCTGCAAGGTTGATGGAGCACCTGGTTAAACTTGATTAAACCTATTCATTCTGAGGAACCGGAATGCAGTGCACGGCGATGCATCTGCCCTCGCCCCTGGAGGCCACCACAGGATTTTGAGAAAGTTGCAATGGAAGATAGAACAGGGATGAAGAGGGGCCAAGCGCTGGTAAAAGTCAACAGTAGCCTATTGCGCTGTGTATGCGTGGTTTACTACTCTTGGTATACTTTACTGTGGTCGTAGCTGTGGAACATGCACCATGTGCACCATGTACACAGCGCACTGAGCCATCAGGAGTTCGCATCGGAGCCCCTGCGATGACCACCCGGGGCTGCACTGAGCAGGACTTCAAAACCATCGGCGACCTGCTGAAAACAGCACAGCCGAGCTCCCCTAAACCCTAAACCCTGAACCCTGAACCCTGAACCCTAGGGCAGCTTCTGTTCTGTTTTTGATGGTTTTGCCGGGGCCTTCGGGCGTCAAAGGGAATCAGCCTTGCTGGGCGTCGTGGTCGCGGGAAGCACGAAGCTTTGCTTGAAGCACCTTAGGGAAAGGCCCCAGGCCCCAAATTCCATGATCAAAGTAGCTTTGGAGATTCTGGGGCAACTGCGGCAGCATCTGAGCAGGTATAAGAGTCCTGATCCCTAAGTATGGGGGTTTTCTGCTCCAGCCAAGACAGGACCCTTCTCCCTCCAATGCCTCATCATCTGCAAGCCCTTCTCAGTCTCTACTATTTACTTAAGAACCCCCCAAAAAATATTCGGGAATTAATAATCCCGAATATAAAGCCCTTAGAAGGAAGAATAATTTCATTTTTTTTTTTTTGTTTTGGGGGGGGTTCTTCAGCAATTCGTAGTTCTCTACCCTCGAACTACCCTCGGACATTCAAAGCAACTTCCTAAGTACCATGAGCCCTCCAAGTGGAGCTGTTGTCTTGCCTGTCAGCTGTGCATTCTTCAGGTGGGTTCCTGGACCGGTGCTGCCAGCTGGCACTGAAGATCCAAGCCGAGAAGGGCAAGAAGTTGAAAGACTTCGAGGCATCCCTCAGTGAAAGTTGTTTTTTGGATTTTTTTAATGGGAATTGTTGAGGGGTTTTAAGGGTTTTAACGGTCTCGCTTGTGATGTTTGGGCTTGCGGGCGTAGCAAGAGAATGGCGGGCGAAGAGACCGACGCGTGTGTGGGTGGACCTCTGTGTGTGTGCGTCTAGGGTCGAACGCTTGGAGCTTCTAGGCTTCATGACCGCACCGCCCACACACTCGCTTCTGAAGGTGCGCCTTTACAAAGCAGCGCCATCTCAAAGCCAATCATCTAAAGCCACTCATTGTTGGAGGAGGACATGCAGACCACGATTGGGGGGGTTAGGCTGCTTGGCTTGCCAGGCAGCCATTCCGAGCAACCAGGAGGTTACAGCGCTGAAGAAGGAGGTCGGGCTCGGGGACACCGTGTCATCTTGACACATCTTGACTGAAGCAACTACATGAGACTGGCTTGCCGCGAACGACCTAACCTTATACTACCCCATACCTGTAGCCTGCGCAGAAGCCTTTTTACACACTCTACTACTTCTCACCGTAAAAAGCGAGAATCCGCTGCCATCAGCAGTCTTGGCAACAGCAACACAATGCGGTGTGGGTGCATGTAGTGCCAGAGGCTCGTTTAAGCAAGTGATTCGCCTCAGGTGGAGGAGTGGGCCAGCAAGTTCGGATACCCGGGCCTGTAGGCCGAAGGCCTCAGCCAGTAGTCTTACCCAGGCGCATCGGCACCGACGTAAAGAGCATTCTGCGAACCACATGTCCGAGACTATGGAACACTCTCTGAGGATCTGCATCTAGACTCCTAAACCTTCAGAGCAGACCTTCATAGCAGAGAGGCTATCTTGGAGTGTTGCTGCCGTGTGAATCCACCTCGTGCGTTGGCACCGGGGCCGGGGAGGTGCCAAATATTTTCGTAGCCAAGCCTCTGCATTTTTGTGTTTTTGGGTGCTTAAAGTGGTGCCTACCAGTCCCATGCGGCCCAGGTCGGACAGAGTTTCTGATATCTTTGAGACCTTTTTGTTAGCTGACCTAAGGAGATGACAAGAGTGATCCATTGGTGCGACATCTAAGGTTCTTTTGTAGTTTTGTCTAGTCTTTTGTCGTAAATGAAGCAGAAGCAGCCTCTTGGGCCTCTCGGGGGAGCCTGATGCACTCCAACCGGCATAGTCGGAGTCTGAGTGGGCTCATACACCACCTTGGTCTCTAGCAGTTTAGACTCTAGACCTATCTAGACCTGAGAAGCTTCTGAGCCTGGCTACAGTGGGGCGTGTTCCCTTCCAAGAAACTGCACAAAGAATTGCACCCTCCAAAAGTGCCGAACCCTCCCCCCACGGCCTGGCCTGAAGCTTCAGACCCCCGGCAGCGTGCGTGGAGCCCAGCGCAAGTCTTCCTGGGGCTCCCAGATCCTGCCGAGGCGGTCTCAATCCCGACCCCCCGCGCGAAGGTAACAAAAGACTGCGCGTGTCCCAGTCACTCCTCACTTTGGCACTCCAGCTCCCGTCTTAAATATATATTTATATATTTATTTATATTTATTTATTTATTTATATTTATTTATTTATCTATTTATTAGTTTATTTTTTAATCATGACAAGAATAGCAATGACACTATAACGACAATAACAATAGCAATAACAATAGTAATTAAACCCTAGAAATCTTGACAATAAATGGTCTGGCAAAACCCCCGGGTTACGTTCCAACATCTTGGTTCCCATGCAGGATGGTCAGGACTACGTCCACCGCATTGGCCGGACCGGCCGCGCAGGACGTAAGGGCACCGCCGTGACCTTGCTGCGCAAAGGCCGGACTATGCCGGGCTGCTTTGAGTCTAACTTCGGTTTGGGGCACTGGTTTGGGGCTTAGGGATGCTCAGGGTGTAGGCAGTGTATAATTAGCGGTTCGGGTGTCAGGTGCTGAAGTTAGTTTTGAAAGGGGGCTTCAGATTGAAAAGCATGCAGCCCGGCAGGATTGCGGTTCTTTTATCCGGCTTCCAAGCCCCGCAGTCACCAGACATGTCGGCACTCACACTCGGCTATCAGGCCCCGATGGGCCAGGGCCTCAGGACCGTACCGGGACCAGGTTTCCGTGCTGTAGCCGACTGCAGTGCTGGGGCTCTGGCTGAGTCGTCTGAGCAGAGCTAAGTTTATCATCCACGTGTTGACGCTTATCTTGCCTACAGCTCGCATCCGTGTGAAAGACGCGTTGTTTCTGTATTTCTCAAATGCGGGCACCGATGCTTGCTTCGTAAGGCATGCCATGATCTTCATCACGCAGGCTCATTCAAGAACACTTGTTCTGAAGATGAAGTGGAGAATTGGAGTGGCCTTCTGTCGCTCTGCAAGTACCGTTCTACGTACTAGGAAAGGGATCCCAAAAAAAGAGAATTTCAGCTGAGACTGAGACCGTGGAGCAACATGAGCAACCTTGAGCGACATGTTCCAATTCCGAAGACTGCTAGAGACAACTGCGCCCGTGAGCAGGTCATGCGGCGCACCGGGAAGGATGTCCCACAGGCCTGGTTTTGGGGTTTAGGGTTTAGGGTTTGGGGTTTGGGGTTTAGGGTGTAGGGTTTAGGGTTTAGGGTTCAGATGTTTTTTTTGTGTGCATTCTCCATGATGTCAGGGAACTTCTCCCTAAACTCTCTCCAGGACCTCATCGAAGCCCTCAAGCAGCGGCGGGGTCGCGACATGAGCTGCTGGGCTTTTTTTTCAGCCATCCTCAACGCACCTTGGGGTAGGGGGGGTGGGGGTTTAGGGTTTGAGGGTTTCGGGTTTAAGGGTCTAGGGCTGCGGCAACACGAGATGGGCTTGGCAAAGAGCATGAAAGAGCAGGGTTTCCCGCGACCACGGGACAAGAGGTAAAAGGAGTCGTTTTTAACAAAAACACTGTAATTGAACAAACCTCACCAGCCTTGCATGGACTGGGGCGCCCAGCTCAAGCCCGGCAGCTTGCAGAGCAGTCTGCAACTGTTGCTGTTGCGACCAATCTCATAGATGTTCACATGTTCAGCGGGTGGATCTGACTTCGTTTTTTGTGGATGTTTGCAGCTTTGGTACATCCGGCTCGCATCAAGAGAGTTTCAGGTGAGCAAGTGCTGCGCCGCATCCTCCTGTCCTTGTGTAGAAAGAACGACCTTACACCCTCTGCAGCTCGTTGAGATGTCGTGCCTATGGGGCCTAGGATGTCGCCTTGTTTAGATGCCGCAACTGCCTCGAGTCCGGGGAAGGGGAGCTCGCACTGCTGAAACTGAGGCTTGGCTGCGGAAGTCCTCCAGGGCCTCACAAATCAGCAGAAGATCGAGCGAAGCCCAAGCCCCGGACTTGCAGGGGCTTGGGGGTTCATGGCTCGAACAGCTTCGCGCTGACCCTGTAGATTTGGAAAGTATCAAGAAGCGAAGAATATGAACTCGAACAGATGGAGTCGAAAACTGTGACATGAAATTGCAAGGAGCAGTATTAATTGGTGCGCACTTTGTCAGGCTGGGCAAAGCTCGTTTGAGTCAATGACTGCTGGGACCACATTGGAGCTGCCGGTGATGCCGCCTAGTGACCAAGCAGGGCCTGGCATAGATTCAACGGACAAAAACGGCCGTGCACCACCGCTTTACCCAAAGGCTTGTTGATTGGTTTTATTGCCATCCATGATCGTCATGCCGAGGGTTCGCAGCTTGACATAAGTCGTTGCAGCCTTTTGGTTCTGCCGTCTTGCACAGCACTCGGCGCCAGCCCCTCCCAGTCCCCAACGCCACTTGCGTTGGTCCGGGTCTCTCTCTGCGTGCGGTGCAACATGCTGCAACTCCCGGAAATCAGTGTTGTGCGCCGAGGCAATGCAGTTCCTGGCCACCGTGTTCCTGCTGAAGGCTGCCTGCTTTGCCCAGGCCGCCCTTCTGCGAAGCCGGCGCGACCAGTCGGTGAGCCTCGGCCTCTCACTGACTCTCACGTCACAGCACTTGCAGGTTGGGACGGTAGTTTGGACGCATGGAAACGCAAGGGAAAGAGACTTGCCGAAACTGAATTTCGACCCGAATTGAAGAGGGCATCTTCGAAGAGATGTCTGTGGTGACGTTCGAATCGTTTGACCCGGAACACGTTTCTCACAGCCCCGACGACACCAGCAGACGGAACACTTGAACGCGATGAAGGGTGAAGGTTTGGCAAGCATGAGCTGATCATGAGAAAGGTTTGTTGGAGAACTGCAGCTCAAAAAGAACAGCACTCATCCAGAAGCCCAAATGCAAAAGATGCATCGGATTTGCTGTTTGCCAAGCCCTTTGTGTTGCTCTCTGACTGAGGACTGTGACGCCACGGTCTCCGGATCAGCGGAAGCGTGACATGGCGGCGCTGGAGAATTCTGTGCAGCAGCTGCTAAACAGCGCAGGTCGGGTCTGCTTTGGGAGCTTTGAACACCGTCAACAAACAAACCAATTTGACACACACTAGAAATCCAGAGAAGTCCAAGGATAGCACCAGTGCCCTGCTAGGACCCGACGTTGCTGGGCTGTCTGAGTCGTTGAAGACCGTCATGGAGCAGGAAATGAAACCAACGATGCGCACTGCCATGGTGGATCTGCAAAAGGAGCTCGACGCACATTACAGCTCCGGATACACTAGGCAAGGTGTGAACGGGGGATTTGCAGCCTGTGTAAAGAGCCGAGCCAATTGGCTGCCATGGGTGCTGTGTAATGATGTGTACTGTAAGCCCTATGTGCCTGCAGCTGAAGGTGTGACGAGGCTTTGGCGAAAGACAAGGGCCCGGACGGAAAGCTGGCCGGCAAGACCAGTGTTTTCAAGAAGGCGCAAACTCAGCATCAGACCTGCCGCAAGGAGCGCTCTTGCAAACACGGTTGCTTGTGGGCTAGCGTGAGCCACGTTAGAGACGGCAATCTGACAGTCGCCCTGTCTCAAGCCAAGAACATGAGCTCAGGAGGAATCGGACGCGCGCACTGCCCACTCCACCTGCTCCGCCACTGAGAGCCAGCTTGGTGCCGAGAAGGACTGTCCTTTCGGTTGCATAGATTTGCAGATCGACCCCTGACAGTTGGTATTGCAGGAGACTGCGTGCCAGGTGGTCCGGGAGTTCAACAAAGCGAACAGCTCGGATTGCGCCAAGCAAGAGGGCGAATCGGAGGAAGCGTACACTCGCAGGCTCCGTGAGTACTACGAGGCACGGAACCTGGAAGTGAGGGAAGCCGAGGAGAAGTGCGACAGGGCCACCGTTTCTTTGGAGAACAAGGTTGCGGAGTGCAGCGGTTTGAAGGACACCTGGTCAGGCATCCGCGAAGCTTGTGGCCGCGAGCAGGACACCATGGACGAAGCTTCCTGCGACATCCAAGAAGATGAGACCAGCGTCTGTCAGGAGTACTCCCGATGCTATGAGCAGGCCACGGCTGCCTACAACCAGGACTTGGAGGCGGTGAAGCAGCAACAGGCAGACCTTGCAGACGAGTGGGCGGCGCTGCTGCGCATGCAGTGCCTGCTCCAAGTCTTTGCTAAGGATGCGGACAAGCAGGCGGCGCTGGCGACGTGCAAGGGCCAGGACCATGCCAGCGAGGTGGCCAGCGCGACGAGTTTGAGGTTCCCGTCCCCTGTGCCCAAGACCGCCCAACTCTGCAGCACCATCGGCGGAGCTGCAGCCAACTCTCATTACATCGTGCAGCATTATGGCAGCCTGCCCAAGAACGCCCAGGCCAAGACCTGCTCGGCCTCCTGTTGCACCAAGTGCAGCGAGTTCCTGTGTCCCCACGGCTTCGTGAACATCGACCTGGCCGAGCAAAAGATCGGAAGCCTAGCGGAGTCCTGCTGCGTGGAAGGGAGCCTCTTCTCCAACAGCAAGCTGGTCAGTGAGAAGCATCAGGGCTTGCCCCTCGGCCAAAGCTGCGACTGCTGCTCTGGGGATGTCTTGCTTGGTTTGTTGGGTGTTAGATCTTTCGACCCGTGAGCTGAGGCTGCGGGACTGGGTGCAAAGCTCAAAGCGCTGGACGCTCTGCTACCAGAGGTCTACGCATGGTGGTGATAGCCCAGCAGCTTTCCACGCCGGCTGCGACAACAAAGGCCTTCCTGGGTGCCAGCGGTCTGTGAATGTCTGTGATGTTGTATGATACTGTTTAGGCCCCTGCGTGTGACAGCCTGAGCTCTTTTTAAGGCCGGACGATCACCGTCATGAAGTTGAGCACGGGCAAGGTGGTTGGTGGATACAACGCCAACAGCTGGAGCAGCCCGGTCCTCGGCCCCGAGAACATACGGCTGTGGAACTCGTACTACTCGCCGAACCTTGAGCGCACTGGCTTCCTGTTCTCGCTGACCACGGAGTTTAAGCACAAGCAGAACGACCGGCGCTTCTTGCACTACAACAAGTATGCAACTTGGAATGGGGACACTATGGGACCCAACTTCGGCCTCTACCATCGTGGGGACCTCCAGGCCTTCTCCTGGGAGGCTGGCAAGACGGGCTATGGGCACCGCCGCAACAAATGCGACATCGGCTACACCTACATCACCCGGCTCGGCCAGACCACCGAGAACATCGCGCGGCAGGATTTCTGCGGCAGTTTCGACAACTTCGGCATCGAGGAGATGGAGGTCTTCTACCAGGCCTGAGCCAGCTGTGATGCCTTCGCAGCGAAGCGAATCCTGGTAGATCTGGCAGCGATCGGGGCTCTGAGGGGGGTCTCAGGACAGGAAAGACCCTTTCGGAAGCGCCTTTAGTTTTGTGATCGAAGAACACAAAAAACTTCTTGGAGGCCTGGCTGCTCCATTCCGAAAGGGTTTTCACTTCTTGGGCGCCCCCAGCTTTTCAAGCTGTCCTAGCCGTTTGATGATTGGGCGCGAAGAAATCAGAAAAGTAATGGCTGTGGCGTGGCTTCGTTTGATTTACGTGAGAGCCATCTTACTTGCTAACCCTATCTTAATGATCCAAATTTGGCTGACGATGTCAGTTGACCAGAAATTCTCGAGAGTTGTTGAGTGGTTTTATTGCCATCCATGATCGTCATGCCGAGGGTTCGTAGCTTGACATAAGTCGTTGTAGCTTTTTGGCTCTGCCGTCTTGCACAGCGCTCGGCGCCAGCCCTCCCAGTCCCCAACGCCACTTGCGTTGGTCCGGGTCTCACTCTGCGTGCAGTGCAACATGCTGCAACTCCCGGAAATCAGTGTTGCGCGCCAAGGCAATGCAGTTCCTGGCCACCGTGTTCCTGCTGAAGGCTGCCTGGTTTGCCCAGGCCGCCCTTCTGCGAAGCCGGCGCGACCAGTCGGCGAGCCTCGGCCTCTCACTGACTCTCACGTCACAGCACTTGCAGGTTGGGACGGTAGTTTGGACACATGGAAACGCAAGAGACTTGCCGAAACTGAAATTCAACCCGGACAGAAAGAGCGCATCTTCGAAAATCTGTGGTGACGTTTCACATCCTTTGACCTGGAAAACATGCTTCTCACAGCCCCGACCACATCAGCAGACGGAGAATATTTGAGTGGGACGAAGGGTGAAGGTTTGGCAAGCATGAGCTGTTCATAGGAAAAGAAACAACAACACTCATATAGTAGCCCAAATGCAACAGATGCATCGGATCGCCAGCTATTTGTGCACGTCGACATGGGGAGTGCAGAAACACCCTGAGGGCAGGCCTAATCGCAAGTGGTTGCTGGTTGTCACGACCTTCGCGTCGCTTCTCTAGAACTGAGGACTGTGTCGTCAGGGTCTCCGCATCAGCGGAAGCATGACATGGCGGCGCTGGAGAATTCTGTGCAGCAGCTGCTAAACAGCGCAGGTCGGGTCTTCTATGGGAGCTTTGAACACCGTCAACAAACAAACCAATTTGACACACACACTAGAAATCCAGAGAAGTCCAAGGATAGCACCAGTGCCCTGCTAGGACCCGACGTTGCTGGGCTGTCTGAGTCCTTGAAGACCGTCATGGAGCAGGAAATGAAACCAACGATGCGCACTGCCATGGTGGATCTGCAAAAGGAGCTCGACGCACATTACAGCTCCGGATACACTAGGCAAGGTGTGAACGGGGGATTTGCAGCCTGTGTAAAGAGCCGAGCCAATTGGCTGCCATGGGTGCTGTGTAATGATGTGTACTGTAAGCCCTATGTGCCTGCAGCTGAAGGTGTGACGAGGCTTTGGCGAAAGACAAGGGCCCGGATGGAAAGCTGGCCGGCAAGACCAGTGTTTTCAAGAAGGCGCAAACTCAGCATCAGACCTGCCGCAAGGAGCGCTCTTGCAAACACGGTTGCTTGTGGGCCACGTGAGCCACGTTAGAGACGGCAATCTGACAGTCGCCCTGTCTCAAGCCAAGAACATGAGCTCAGGAGGAATCGGACGCGCACACTGCCCACTCCACCTGCTCCGCCACTGAGAGCCAGCTTGGTGCCGAGAAGGACTGTCCTTGGGGTTGCATAGATTTGCAGATCGACCCCTGACAGTTGGTATTGCAGGAGACTGCGTGCCAGGTGGTCCGGGAGTTCAACAAAGCGAACAGCTCGGATTGCGCCAAGCAAGAGGGCGAATCGGAGGAAGCGTACACTCGCAGGCTCCGTGAGTACTACGAGGCACGGAACCTGGAAGTGAGGGAAGCCGAGGAGAAGTGCGACAGGGCCACCGTTTCTTTGGAGAACAAGGTTGCGGAGTGCAGCGGTTTGAAGGACACCTGGTCAGGCATCCGCGAAGCTTGTGGCCGCGAGCAGGACACAATGGACGAAGCTTCCTGCGACATCCAAGAAGATGAGACCAGCGTCTGTCAGGAGTACTCCCGATGCTATGAGCAGGCCACGGCTGCCTACAACCAGGACTTGGAGGCGGTGAAGCAGCAACAGGCAGACCTTGCAGACGAGTGGGCGGCGCTGCTGCGCATGCAGTGCCTGCTCCAAGTCTTTGCTAAGGATGCGGACAAGCAGGCGGCGCTGGCGACGTGCAAGGGCCAGGACCATGCCAGCGAGGTGGCCAGCGCGACGAGTTTGAGGTTCCCGTCCCCTGTGCCCAAGACCGCCCAACTCTGCAGCGCCATCGGCGGAGCTGCAGCCAACTCTCATTACATCGTGCAGCATTATGGCAGCCTGCCCAAGAACGCCCAGGCCAAGACCTGCTCGGCCTCCTGTTGCACCAAGTGCAGCGAGTTCCTGTGTCCCCACGGCTTCGTGAACATCGACCTGGCCGAGCAAAAGATCGGAAGCCTAGCGGAGTCCTGCTGCGTGGAAGGGAGCCTCTTCTCCAACAGCAAGCTGGTCAGTGAGAAGCATCAGGGCTTGCCCCTCGGCCAAAGCTACGACTGCTGCTCTGGGGATGTCTTGCTTGGTTTGTTGGGTGTTAGATCTTTCGACCCGTGAGCTGAGGCTGCGGGACTGGGTGCAAAGCTCAAAGCGCTGGACGCTCTGCTACCAGAGGTCTACGCATGGTGGTGATAGCCCAGCAGCTTTCCACGCCGGCTGCGACAACAAAGGCCTTCCTGGGTGCCAGCGGTCTGTGAATGTCTGTGATGTTGTATGATACTGTTTAGGCCCCTGCGTGTGACAGCCTGAGCTCTTTTTAAGGCCGGACGATCACCGTCATGAAGTTGAGCACGGGCAAGGTGGTTGGTGGATACAACGCCAACAGCTGGAGCAGCCCGGTCCTCGGCCCCGAGAACATACGGCTGTGGAACTCGTACTACTCGCCGAACCTTGAGCGCACTGGCTTCCTGTTCTCGCTGACCACGGAGTTTAAGCACAAGCAGAACGACCGGCAAGCCATGATCGTGTCATTCAGAGGTTTCAAAACCAATCAGAGGTTTCACAACCAAACACATGCATGTAAAATAAGCCAAAAAAACCTGTATATAGCATGCATTATGTCAGGATGACTGCTTGATGAGTTGAAAAAATGGCTGAAAAAAAGATGGTTCTAAAACATGGGCTCTCAAAAAAAAGGCTTTTTAAAACTTAAATAAAAAAACATTGTCCAAACAGCAATAAGCAAAAAAAAACTGTATATAGCAACCATGATGTCAGGATGACTGCTTGATGAGTTGAAAAAAATGGCTGAAAAAAAATGGTTCTAAAACATGGGCTCTCAAAAAAAAGGCTTTTTAAAACTTAAATAAAAAACATTGTCCAAACAGCAATAAGCAAAAAAAACTGTATATAGCAACCATGATGTCAGGATGACTGCTTGATGAGTTGAAAAAAATGGCTGAAAAAATGGTTCTAAAACATGGGCTCTCAAAAAAATGTTTATTTAAGCTTAAATTGAAAACATTGTCAAAACGGCCCCAAAAAAATTGACTCTAAGCTGCACAGCTCAATGTTCCAGCACAGTGCTAATATAGTTGTGCCTTCAAAGCCTCAGTAATCCAGCAGGGATGGGTCGGGAGGGTTTGTGAGATGGAGCAGAAAGGGGGGGGGGGGGGGCAGGGCGGCATAAAAATCTTGCCACCAAGGATGTCAGAGCCTCAGTCGCAGCATCAACGCTCCTTCAGGAAGAGCAATTGGGCCCTCAGGTTTTTGCAGGGTTTCGGGTTTAGTTGGTGTTTAGGGTTTGCTGCCAACCCTTAGATCCGAAGCCAAAAACCCTAAACACCTAAACAACAAACCCTGAACCCTAACCCAAGGAGCAAGTCGGCACTGTGCTGAAAGGCGCTGCCTCCAAAAGGTTTGTGCCGAAAGGCGCAGCCTTGAATCCGAAACCCAAAACCCTAAAGAATAAGGTTTTTGCAGGGTTTCGGGTTTAGGATTTGCTGCCAAACCTTAAAAACCCAAAACCCTAAACAACAAACCCTGGACCCTAACCCAAGGAGCAGGGGTGCAGCTCAAAATCGAAAGGCGCTGCCTGAGCAGAGCAAGACCCAATTTGTCATTCCAGGCTCAAGGGGGGCACAGGGGCGATCATGCTGTCAAACCAAACTGTAAACTGTCAACCCCAGCCCCCCCCCTTCTCCTTGCATTCTGGGCAAGTTGTGACGACCCAGATCTGCCAATCTTCAGCAGTCCTGCCCTCAGCACTGGTTTTCCCAGAGGTTTGGCCTGGGCGAGCTTTGTCAGTGCTTAACATGTGCCTTGAATCCACTCAGCATGTTGATCCTTTGGTTTCTCATGGTTTGTCACTTTAAGGCCAGTTGCTTCACCTCCAGAACTCCACCAGGCAGGGCTAAGCTGATGGTGCAAATGCTTTTGGTGTTACTGTTTGGGGTGTCTGTTTGTTTCAGTGCTGTGCAAGTGCTAGTCATGAAGCCATGTCATGATGTGAGCCTCTGACTGATTGAAGGCTGTCACAAAGGGCTTCTATGCAGTTAGAATTACCAGGCTGTGTGCCGCAAGGAGTAGGCCGCCACAGTGCCGAAAGGCGCAGGGGCGATCATACAAGGTATTATAAACCCAGGGCGCAGTGTAGAAACCAGTTTGTGCATTCCATAGGATTTAAGGCTCAGGTGTAGTGTTGCAGCAAAGCCCTGTGCCACCTAGGCAAAACTGCAACTGTGATGAGCATACTGTTGCAGTACATAGGCTGTTCTTTGCGTGACGGCAGTCTTGCAGTGAGAGGCTTGATGTGTGATTCATCTTGAGTGCCTGTATGTGCAGCACTGGCTCGTGAGTAGTGCAGTGCAAAATTTTGTCTGGGTTCGAGGCCGCCTTCTAGTTTAAGGGCCCCTACAGGCGCTACGAGTGCTCTTAGAGCTCGTGCAAGCTGCGCCGCGATCGGCCAGCGGATGGACAATTCCTCCTCTAGTGAGGCGTCGTCGTCTTCCTCTGACGACTCCGGGTTGCCCATCCCTGCAGGCACCCCTTTTGCACCTGTGCGGTTGCGTCTGCGTTGTTTCCACGAAGAGGGTCTTTTGCAGCGTTTGCAAGCCCCGGTTGATCTCTTCACGCATATCCTTGAACCAAGCTTCCGTGGCTTGTTGTTAAGTCGCCGGGAAGGGGCGCGCTTTCTCCTGCTGCTTGCAGTTGAAGACTGGGTGCGCTTTGCTGCTTCATCTCATTGGGTGCAATCCTGCTATCGCTTGTTGCTCCCCTTGGAATCTTGATGTGGATGCGGCCAGAGCAGATGTGTACAAGGAGAGAATGGAAAAGGCGATCTCGGAGGTGGCCAAGTACAAGGCAGGACTGTGGAGGTGGCTTGCTCATCATCAGCTGCACAATCACCAGCAGCTGTTCTCTTGCCCCTACAGGCAACTCAGAAGGCTTCTCCCGACATGCAAAAGAGCCGAAACAAACAACTGCAGGCTTCGATACCCAACCCGATACCCAAACCCTAAACCCACAAAGCCCGATACCCACGAAACCCGAAACACATCGATGCCCAGGCTCCAAACCCTAAACCTTTAGGAAGGTTCAGACTGTTAAGGCTCTAGGAGGGTTGAACCTAACTCCTAATCCCTAAACCCTGGACCTGCAAAGCCTGCTAGGCCCTGGAGATGGTGGTGCGCTGGCCTGCCAGAAGACACTGGCAAATTTGGAGGTCCGAGAGGGGGGTGGGGTGGGAAGGGTGTTCGGAGTGGGTGCAATAGTGCTGAAAATGCTTTTATTCGCAGCTTGCTTATCCCGGCGGTTTCTGGGATCAAGCACGACAGCCAGCTTAGAGCAACCAATCAGCATCAGCTTCATGCTTGCTTGAAGAATTTTCATGTTGCTTTTCATGGAAGTGCTTGCTGTTGTGCGTTGGCTGTGCCGTTGTCAAACTTTAGGTTTGCTTCAAGGTCTATAATTTGTTCCACTAGAACGCCGAGACATTTGCAATTGCAATGGGGTCTGGCTGGCGGTGCAAACTATGTGTCGACGGCCGAACCTACAGAAGGCCCCCAAAGAACATTTGCAAGAAGTGTGATCCAAACAACAGGATAGGGCGGCATCACCAGAAGGTCCTGAGCAGGAGACTTCGGCAGAAAACCACTGCCAAACCTTCCCTGTTCCAATTTGGGTGGCAGGCAACTTCAGGATCCAGAACAGCATCAGTTGACAACTTGCTGCAAGCCCTAGAAGGTGAGATGGATGATCTCAAGATTGCTGCAGCCTTCAAGATGTCCCATGTCCACAGTGTGCTGGGTGTGGCATATGCCTGGCTTGAAAGGGTGCGTGACTGCAAGGTGACGATTCCGGCATCATGCAAGGTGCATGGCCTCCTGACTTTTGCAATGGCCGCAGGTCCGTTGAGCGACCCCGATGAGCTGCGAGCAGGGTATATGAAGCGAAAGAATTTTGGAGTGAAGAGCTTCAGACATTCTGAATGTGTTTGGGCGAATGTGATTGGCAATTTTGAAGAAGGATGCGGCACAGGCCAAATGCAGTTCTGAGGGCACATACACACCACTGAGGCTGTTGCAGGACAAGAACAAAATGAGGTGCTTGTCATGCCGAACCCTAAACCAGGAATATACATAGCGCAACCGGTTGCGCTTTGTGAGTGCTTGCAGATTGCAAGCACCTGGAAGACACTTACGGCTGTGTGCTTGCAGGAATATACATAGCGCAACCGGTTGCGCTTTGTGAGTGCTTGCAGAAAAATGCAATGGACAGCTGGTTGCGGTTTGATGGTTACAACAGCTGCCACCCCCCCCCCCCCCCCCCCCCACGCATTTGGCATGCGCCGAAGCACTTGGCATTCGGTATGATTGCGTGCTGTGACAACATGAATGCAGCGCTGTCCGTGTGGTCCGGCTCAGACTTTTTTAGTGAGTCGACTCATCAGCATCATGTCGTTGGAGCGTGGCAACGGGGGACACACACCTCCAAAGAGGCAGCCGCCTGCCACTGTTGACTTTACGCCGCCGAAGCCACCCAAAAGACGCCGGCTACAGGTGACTTGGGGACAGTTCGTGGCCAGTCTGACAGCCGACTACGAGTCTTTCCTACGAGACCAAGCTCGAGCCCCTGAGCCTTGGCCCCTCCTTCAAGAGCAGTGGGATGCAATGATGCGGCAAGTCCTCCGAACCAACCGAGACCCTGCCACGCTGGGCCCTGCGCCTCACTTCATGCAGCAGGGTGTGGACGAAGTACTCGTCGAGCAGGACAGGAACACTGATGATTCAGATGCTGAAACTCTGATCATGGGACAACAGTAGATCAGAATCAGAATTTAGCTCCAGGACCAGCGACGTTGAAAAAAGTTGGGTCATGAGCCGGGGGGGGGGTGGCAGCTGCAGTAGAAGCCCAGGCAGTAGCCTTTTTTCACAGGTGTAACCATCAAACCGCAAGCAGCTGTCCATTTTCTGCTAGCACTCACAAAGCGCAACCGGTTGCGCTATGTATATTCCTGCAAGCACACAGCCGTAAGTGTCTTCCAGGTGCTTGCAACCTGCAAGCACTCACAAAGCGCAACCGGTTGCGCTATGTATTTTCCTGCAAGCACAGAGCCG